GTGGAGACTAATCCAATGGAATCGACTCGTTACAGCATCAGCCAGCTCTTGGCCATCCGTGGCACCAAGCTGCAATGCTTGCTCGAGCAGAGGCTGCTTGAGAACGCCAAAGAGAACCCTATCTTGAGTGCGCTATCTTCCCCTTTCCGGCCTTCCAGGCCCATGGCACTACTAACCTCTTCCACAGCAGGCATCATTCGTCACAAGCGACCCCTTCCCCACCAGAGAGCTCCTCTAGTCTCTCGTGCCAACATGGAGGTCAGACAGTCCTCTTCCGGTGACTCGGAGTATCAAGCACCGGCCAAGCATCAGGCACCTCAAGTCACTGCTCCGCTCCATGACAAACCTGTTCGTACACTTCGTCATGTCACTGCAGACGTCAGTCAGCTTGATGGACCCGCCGGTCGACAGCTCGATGGACAAGATGCCGAGCCCGAACTCCAGCCTGAAGTGCCTTCTCAGCGACCTATCCTCCCTGACCAGAAGCGCAAGGGTTTTGAGCAGTTCTACGAAGCCGTCCGATCTCCCACTCACGTCCGCGTCACTGCCGGAGGCAGAATTGTCCCCAATACCCTGGATGCCTCCCACTCTTCTCCTACCGGAAAGAGCAGCAGAGAGAGAATCAACATGGACATCAACGGTGTACAGCCTTCCTTGGGACAGGGCTTCAACAGCCAGTTCATGCCAGGACCCCCCCTGATGGGCCCTGTTCATCCGGCCATGCAAACTACCTTCCCAATGATGGCACCAAGCCCGAACCCAATGGTCTCTTTCAGCGGATTTGCGATGCCCCCTTTCAGCGTTGCCCAGGCTCCGGCACAAGCACAGTTTGCCCCTCTGAATGGCGGCATGATTCCTGTCGGGAATGCGAGCGAGAAGAAAGATCATAACAGTGGCGTCGTCCCCAACACTGGAGCTATGCCTATGCCTCCGTTTGGTGGACAGTGGTTCCTCCCACCTCATCCAATGATGCCGATGGGTATGCAATACGCTAGTGGTCCAACCTACTCTGGAGCTCCAATGGTGCCCATGGCGTTTGGTCCAATGGGCCAGCCGATGGGCCAGACGATGGGCCAGCCCATGATGTATCAGCAACCTCCTCAGCCTATGCCTACGGTAGGCGCCAGGTCCTTCACCCCCAATGCGCCGGTCGAGAGTTGCCCAGTTTCATCCATTCGACCTAGCATCATCACCAAGAACCAGCTTGCAGGCCTGCGATCCAGCCTCAAGAAAGCAGAGGCCCAGTTGGCTTACAATCGCCATCAGATCGATGAGAAGCATATGGAAGAGTACGCCCGTCAGCTTCGTTCCGATATCGAGCACTTCGAGATCAAGCTCAAGGGTGAACTCGCACTCGAGGACAGCACTCTTTCTCAGCGCAGCGATGCAAAGGACGCCAGCGAGGGTAAGACATCGAAGGAGTCGAAGCCGGCCGCTACCGAGTCTCGGAAGACGCTCATGTCTGACTCGTCAGGCAACGCAGATAACAACAACGACCCAGCTCACATCACTCGTTCGAATGTGACCGAGGAGCCCAAGAACCCTCGTCATCGTAAGAGGGACAAGCTCAAGCTTGCCGTGGATACTTCGGCGGCGTCTGCTCCATACATCAACTCCACCGTATTCGCGACCATCTCACCTGTTCCCTTCGACCCTAAGGGACATCATCAGACCAGGGAATTCGACTCACTCCACTTCCGTAAACAGTCTACCGGTCTTCCTGTCTCTGCTGCTTTGGCACCGGTTTTCCAGCCTCGTTCTGACATTCGCCGTTCTAAGGAGAACACTCCTCCTGTCTCGGCTGTGCCCAAGGCAGACAAGGAGGCTGGCGACAAAGTCTTCCATGGTATCCTGCCAAAGAACAAGGAAGAGTCTGATCGTCTCTTCTCAGGCGCCCCTCCTACGCCTGGTCTCGACGAGAAATTCGAGAGGATTATTCGTGAGAATCCTGAGTTGACAAAGGCGTACCTGGTTGGCCAGGTGCCTTTCGGCATGGATCCCAGTCCTGATATCAAAGATTACGTCTACCACCGCCCTCTCAACCAGGAGGAGGAGATGGCCAAGCATCTCTTCTGGAGCAATGCTCCTGCGCACCTTCGAGTCAACTTCCCCTTCTTCGACGGTAGGAGCTTCTATTTGCCGTCGCCCGAGAAGGCACCTAGTCGCGAAGTCAGCGATGGACGCTCAGCTGCCCGGCTCGAGGAAAAGTATCGCCGCGCGATCAAGGGGGACAAGAATCCTTTCGCCGCCTTGGAGAGATTGACCGGCCCAAACATGGAGCAAGCAGTCCAGAAGCTGAAGAGAGACACCAAGTCAGACAACATCACCTCGCCCATGAAGCGCCGCAACAAGTCTCGCCTTGTTGCCCACTTCAACAGCCAAGGCCTTGACAAATCGAAGGACAACACGATCTCGTCGGACAACGTCATCGAGTCCGACACCGAGAGAGCCTACTTCAACTCGTGGTCAGTAGCAACCTTCACCAAGCTTCATGCATCATACTTACTAACTTGACAGCAGCGTTCGTACTTGGTCGGAGAAAGTCACTGCGTCCGCGACTGCTCTTCCGGGAGCTGTCACTTCGGAGAATGCCCAAGGCTATCTTCCTCAGTATGCCATCGGCCATGCCGCAGCCTCTCTGTCGCCCGCCATCGCCAACTCTGCAAACCACTCTACCCGCCTGTCGCCTTCCAAGCTGAACGACAACGGCAAACTGGATGCTGGTCAGAGCTTGCTTGTCGCATCGGGTGATGGTCGCGTTGAGAATCAACCTCCCGGCCTTTCCATTGTGAGTAATGTCCACTGACTGGGCTCGCAGTGGTGGTAAAGCTGACTGAAGAACTCTAGCGAATCAAGTGAAGTATCTCGGCCACAACGCCATTTGCATCTTCTTACTCTACTATGGTTACGAAAACGCGTTCTAAATACTTGTACGGATTATTTTGAGACACCCAGTGCTATGGCGGCTTCCAGTATCAAGGCATCGATTTCGAGTATTCAGGAGCCGTCGGCGTCATGTTTGAGAAAGTGATTCTCAATACACAGCTTGTGCAACTCGGCCTTGGTACAGTACACTCTAAAAGGAAGGTGGAGGATTGATCGCATGGTTCATGAAGACCGAATTAGTCAGGCTATGTTAGCATTAATGATCCCAGCTCATACACGGTTATTCACATTAGTACAATGGCATTTCGATGTGTTTTGGTCATGTGTGATGCTGAAACATTCTTGATATATTGAGGAACTGCTAACTGAGCGTAAAAAGCTGAACATGAGACATCATGTATCTCACCATCAAATTCCCAGCCTCATGGACAAAGCTCAGTGAAAATCTTCGGGCGAGTGGAAGGGGTGGTGATTCCACCTCTTCCGGGGGTTGCTCTTCGCCAGTCGTATACCTCGAAAACCATGAATTTGTAGTTAACGCGGAGATATCCTAGCGGGATTTATACAGTCACATGTGCGACCTACCGTTGAAGAACGTTCCAAATTCATGTAGGGGAACTCGTGTTCTTGCCAGTCAACAGCAACAGATAGGTTAGCCTGGTCACGGGATGATGTAGCAAGAGACATCACCGCCTCCGCAGAGCGGAAGGGGACGGTGGTGGCTTCGGGAGGACCTCCCATGGAGCATCTCACGGGTTTGAAGACGTGAGGTGGCCATTGAGAAAACGAAATTTCTCGATTTCATTTTCTAGAACTTTTTGTTGCCTTTTTAGCCTTGTTCTCCCTCGTGCTTTTCTTTTCCCTTTCCAGACAAACCATGGTTATTTGCCATTGCCAAAACGCGTCAATAGGCCCTGTCGTGAAAAACGCCGTCGAAGATGTGGATATCGTTGTCATGTCCCGCCGCCGCCGTTTTGTTGAAGATTGTACCGGTTCCCTTGAACTGCCGCTTGTGGATGTTTGGTCGTTTTGCTCCTCCAACCCGTCATGAGTGAAGACTCGATTGTTGTAACCGAGCCCCCGTCACTTGAGAAGGGGAAGGAAGTCACTGATTCATGACGATTGAGACCGTAACAAGAGTTGGAGAGAAGAAATTTAGGCGGTGGCCTTGGACTTGACGCGGAGCTCGCGGCCGATCTTGGTGCGCTCAAGGATGGACTCGCGGTCCTTGTCGAGCTTGAGCTTGTTGATGACGACGTTGGAGGGGTGGATGCCGAGGGGGACGGACTGGCCGGAGGTCTTCTCGCGGGTGACGCGCTCGACGTGAATGACGTACTTGAGGCGGTAGACGGAGGTGACCTTGCCCTCGCGGCCCTTGTTGGCGCCACGGACGATGGTGACCTCGTCGTCCTTGCGGACGGGGATGGAGCGGACCTTTTGGGGTGTTAGGGAAAAAAGTGTCTCTGATGAGGTTGAAAATCGCAGAGGTCAAGACATACGTTGTACTTCTCGCGGAGCTCCTTGGAGAGAGGGGCGCTCATGATGACACGACGGGTGCTGGAGGGGGCACCGAAGTGAGCCGCGCGCGACTTGCGGCGGGAGGAGGAGATGTCTGTTTCGTAGCAAAGTCAGTAAACCATCTGAATTGCCATCATCACAGACGTTAAGAAGAATACTCACTCTGGTTAACCTTGGTCATCTTGGCTGCGTTAGTACAAACGTCGTTTGGTTGGAAAGGGAATTCGGTGAGGTTGGGCGTCGCAGAGAAAAGTCGAGTAAGTAGAAGCACGTCCAGCGAAAAAAAAAGTTTTGGCAGGATGGGGGTGGTTCGGCCGTTGTGGGCTGCAAATTGGAGAGAAACACGTGACTTAGGTCTTGCTTGAAAAAATTACATTGGTGAGGTGGTCCTAGCCCCTGTCGAGCTGCAGGAGAGGAAAAAGGTCAAAGGCCGGGCGGACTTGGAGCTCAATCGGCCGAGACCGGGATTCCGCGGTGTTGCTGATAAGATAAGGCGCATCTCTGAAGAGCCATGAGAGACATCCTCCGTGATGCTCAAGGTGAGGTAGGGGGAGATTGCATAGAAAGTTTGCGACAAGAGCAAAATGCAGAGTCAGTCCCGGAAAGACATATTTTGGCGATGTTACGCATGGTCAGCGATGAGGGCTGTTAGATACTCAAGCTTCCTGTTACTTCTCCTTCAATCGATGACCATAGTGAACAAATCTGGGACTACCTATATCCCCAGCCCAGGCATAAGAACCATTGCCCCTTGTTCTAGACTGATACCAGGCCGTTATATTGCGGAATTGAGGCATTCATCCTTCACTCCTTTTACCTCATGTGAGGTTTCTCTGCATGGGTACCTCACACACTAAACTTTCTTCTGTACGGATGCATCTTCATCACCGGGTAATAGTAACGAGCCACTGAAGAATGAACAGTGTACAATAGATCTATATGCCGCCTTTACCACAGTCATGAGAATACAATAGCTCTTTTCAACGCCTGGTGGTATGCTCTCCCCCAATGGGGTATACGGTAGTGGTTGTACAAGCTTGACCAACGAGGCCTAGAGGGCCCTTTTTATACAAGTAGGATTTGAGGTAGAACACGTCGTCAGAGTGGGGAAGATGGTGTGTATGGTGTGTAGATGAAGAGCATCTCGTCCGTGTTTCGTGAACATTGACTGCTCCTCTTAGTTGCTCGCAAACGGCGTAGGCGCCTTGAACTTGCCGTTATCGTCGTACTTGGCCTCTGTAATCACATGGTCAGCAACCCAATCACCGAATATCCTCATCCCCAATCTCCCGCAAAAGAACGACAACAGAACGAAGCAGAGAGCAAAACTTACTGAAGAACGTATAATTCAGCGTCACAGTCTCGATACCGCGCATATTGACATCATTCACAATATCCGGGTCCAAATAGAAGAAAACCGGCATATCCACCGTCTCGCCCGCGTTCAACCTCTGCTCCTCGAAGCAGAAGCACTGAATCTTGCTGAAATACGGCGCCACCTGACCCGGCGTGACGCTGTAGGTCGCGACTCCGATGATGTCCTGGTCCGAGTTGTTCGTCGCCGTGTAAAAAGCCAGCGCCGTCTCGCCGGGGAGCACGCGCACCTCGCGCTGCTGCGGGGTGAACTTCCAGGGGAGAATGTCCGAGACGGACGAGTTGAAGGTGACGCGGATGCGCGGGGCCGTCGTCACGGGGACGAGGCGCGCGGCGAGGCCGTCTTCGCTGTAGTCCACGTCCGGGCCGTGGGCGCGGACGGGTTGGCCGCCCCAGCCTGTCGTTTGGCAGATCTGTGGAGGGGGTGAAGAGTATGCGTTAGCCGTCTGCAATGTTTCTCCTCGTATTGCCTCGTATCGAAGGGGTTCCTAAGGGTCGGGAGGGAGGGAAAGAAGCGCACCATCTTGTAGAGAGGCACGGAGCCGTATGACAGGGCGACTGTCCCGAGAATGACGCTAAGTGTGTAGTATCTGGATCGCAAAAACCGCTTCAGCCCAATGTTACTCTTGAGTCTCAATACCAATTGCTCTCTTACGCTGTCGTAGCATTCTTGCGTTTGTAGTGCGCATGGATCTGTTCCATTGAAGGCGCACCACCGAAGCTGGACCCGTTTTGCTGCTGCTTCGGCGAAGGCGTCGTCGAAGCCGCTCGGCGGCCGGCCGGGGGCATCTGCAGGTTGCGCGGCGCTGGACGGACGGCGTGCTGGCAGAAGAAGCAGCTCCATTTCTGCGTCGACTGCGAGGGTATGCGCCACGGCAGGCGCGGGAGAGCGTTCATGGTCGTGAACGCGGGTCGAGAGTTGAGGGTTGAGGCCGTGAGGTTGTTGCCGGAGACGTTGCGCCGAATCGTTCGACGATGTCATGCCATTTCGCATTTCATCGGGATTTGGGGAATCGACCTAGGTAGCTCTAGCTTACTGGCAACGGGCGGTCCCCGAGAGGCCGGGACGGGCGGGGTGGTTGTTCCGCCCCCGGGCTTTGGTTGGCTGAGTTATAGGGGTCTCTGCACTCTATTCCCGCTGAAGAGCCCCTGTTTAGCGAGCAATGACAACCTTATGCAGTTGGATGCCGTAAGGAATTCCAACGTCAACGACAACGGACGAATGCTGTAGTCCATGGGGTTGCCTTAGTATTAAACGTTTTGTTGATTATTTACTATGATTTCCACCGGCTTGATGCTGTTGATCTCGCCAAGCCATACGAAGCAGTTTAACGCCAAGTGCCATCACGCCGGTTCAGGCAGCTTTGCCACTCTTCAAAGACCTCCTCCACCCATTTCGACGCCCGTAAATTGCAGTCTCAGCTGCGCCTGCCGCTCTTTCCAGTACTCTAATGACAAACACCTGAATTAAAACGATGACGAGTCGTACCAGCAAGTCGGCAAGTCCCAAGGACGGTTTCCTCCCTCGGCTATACGTAGAGTCGACAAATTGGAATGGGAGTTTGGCATAGAGGTGGTCCTGTGCGGCATGGAGTCCACTGCTAAAGGCATCCTCGTGGAAACCGTACTTTGTCCATGCCCCCGCGTAACTGATACCCCTCTTGTTCTGGATGCGTGGAAGAAGCTTCTGTGCTCGGACGGCGGCAGGTGTGTAAAGAGGATGACGGTATGTGAATGACGCCTGGATCGTGTCTGGGTTCGGCTGGTGCAAGGGGTTCATCGTGACGAGGACGTCTCCGAAGGTCTCCCTGGGGATATGCTGAATGATGTTCATGTTGTAGGTCAACGAAACCTGGTCAATGTTCTGCTTGCCGGTGGAGGGCGATGACAGGGTCAGGTAATTCCAACTAGACCATGCCTTCTCAGACGCTGGCATGTGTGAAATATCGGAATGGAGGATAACCGAGTTCTCGGACGTTTGGAAGGCGGAAAGAATCTCCTTCTCCTCAGGCGTGGCTGATCCCTCGATAATTCTCAAGGCCTGATCTCCGTGCGTCGCCAAGATAACATGGTCGTAAACGTCGGACTTGCCGTTGTGAGTGTGGACACGAACTCTGCCGTCCTCCTCGCTGGTAACCTGAGTGACCTGCGTGTTGAGGAAGAGGTGATTTGACGGGAATCCGCTCATGACAGCATCGATGTAGGATTTGCCGCACTTTTTCAATGTGAGCCACTCCGGTCTTGTCGCAACCGTTGACAGGAGATGATGGTTCCACCTAGCCTCTATTAGTATTACGCCCCGATCGCGGACAATGACACTTACATGAAGCGAACCAGAGTGACAGCTGGGAAGTTCAGCGTGCACTTATCCGGGCTTGTGCTCCATACGGCGGCGGTCATAGGAATTAGGTAGTCGTCTCTGAAGGCATCTGAGTAACCTTCTCTATCGAGGTACTCGCCTATCGTTTCCTCTCTCTTGCCTCCTTTGCTATACCCGTTCATCGCAGCGGCATCGTTGTCATCCTCCGCCATTAACAGGTCTAGTGCAAATTGGTTGAAACGAATGATATCAAAGATCATCCTCCACATCCGCGGCGAGAAGATGTTTTTCCTCTGAGCGAAGATGGAGTCTAGACTTTTACCAGCCCATTCGAATAAGCCATGGTCACGAGTGACGCCAAATGTCATCTCGGTCGGAACGGTGTCCACCTTGACCCTCTTCAAGAAGTTGATAAAGTTTGCTGAACTTCATGTAAGTCAGAGGCTCATGATAGCTGATGCGGTGGACCTACGATATGTGGCGGTGTTGAGGACGATGAAGCCGGTGTCGACACGAGTCTCATATTTGCCGTTCTTCCAAGTCACCGTATTTGTGTGTCCTCCTAACCTTGATGATGCCTCGTACATATAAACGTCATGATAGCTTCGGTTGAGAGCCCAGAGAGCCGCGATACCTGCGGCTCCACTGCCGACGACGGCAACCTTCTTCCTAAACCTTGGGTCAATAGGAGAGCCCACGGAGCCACGAGAGCCTATTGATTCCAGCGACGGTGGTCGTCGGGACATTATGCAAGAGATACGAGGATGAACGTTGGGAAGTGTGAGGTCTGTGGATGCTCCTGTACAAAGCCACTGGACGTCTGTCGCGCGAGGGCGCAGGTTTGCAATGCTACAGTGGCATATAAAGATACGGCAAGAAGAATCGGGGAGGCCGGTAACAGCTCTCTATCCAGGATGGAATGACGGCGGGCAAGAAGAGGGGAGTTTTCAGACGCAAGCCACGGACGACGATTTGGGGAAAGAGAACAATGGTACGCACATGCTTCCAGCAAGCCAAACTCACACCTTGTCTCTGTGACTGGCACCCCGCCCCAGGTTCAGGAAGGGGAGCACAAAAAGTCTCAAGTTGGCGGAGGCAACATTGGTACGCAAGTAGGGTACATCTGCGTCTGTAGCACCACCACCACCACTTGGCTGGGCTGGGCTCCGGACCAGTGCGCTTACTAGTGCTGCAACTCATGCAGCTGAAGGGATGGAACGGATTCAAACAGGTAGCGTTCTTTGGGGCTGTGGTAGTGGAAGCAGCTGTGTGTGCGTAACATACGAGGTATGTGGGTGTAGGGATGAATGCGGTGTGTAGGCCGAGAGCGAAGGAAACCAGAGCTCAGTGAGACAAGCGGAGAAACAAAACGTACAGCGGCTGACCTGGAGGCATCTTGACCTCTGGTCTCTGTTTCTGAGGATGTGATGAGAGTCTGGTGGAGTCTCTTGAGAGAGGGAGCTCAGCTCTGGAGCAAGCAATGATCGACACGTGGCTGGCTGTAGCAAGGGCCGCAAAGAGATAATGCGAGGCGCAGGAGACAAGGTATTAGATAGAGCTGGAGCTTGAGCTTGAGCTTGAGCAGATAGGACCCTTTCTGGACCTTGGGATAAGTTTCTGGTGCGGAATTCGGTGACAAGAAGGAAGGGAAAGAAAAGGTGAGACGGGCACGGAAAGATGTCGGCAGGTGTGTTCGGCCGGCTGATCACGATGCGATGAAACGAAACTCAGCTCTTGCCGGAGTTCCCACGCGCAATGACGCTTGCATTGGGGCACCCCTGCACCTGATCCTTCTGTGTCCGCTGCGTCCCCAGCTCTCTCCCCAGCCCCCCTTGTCTTGCCAGACTTGAACTATCGCTCGATGGTTCACGATCCAAGACGCCACATGTGGCTGGCTAGACATTTCATTCTATTTTATTTTTCCGAAAAGAGGCTGAAGATTCGAGACGACATCTGCAAATTCAACGCTCGGAATTTGATGGTTTAGACGCCTCATTTGGATGAACGCGTGCTCGTGGAAAGTGAGGCTGACGACAACAGACGAGAAGGCCTTTCCTGAAAATTAAGGTACCTAGCTTTCAATTTGCCGTTCATCAAGGCAATCGTTTTGCGGAAAGAAGAAGGCGGCGATAAAGGCGTGCCATTATTCTCACGATGAAAAGCTGATTTGGATCTCTCGGGCAGCTTAACCAGCTAAAGCAATCATTCCGACGCATTCTTTTTCAATGCGGATCACGATCACCGCGTCACTGTTGAATCCGGTACGGGCGGGGGCGTTCGGTAGATATCAACTTCACGACGGCGCTACTCCACGACTTGTTTTTCACGAAAATTGTCATGGGTGAGAAACTTCTTCCTCACTGCCAGAGACCAGCTCCAGCAAGCAATGAAAAAGAGGAAAAAGGCCTGTCAGACGTCCATCGACACCCACCCTGACCGTGCGCCCAAGGGCAAGACCACAATCAGGGACGAGATCATCACCGCTCTCTATACAGCAACCTTTGCAGGAAGCCGCCCTCCTTGCGGAGGGTGCGAGAGCAACCAGAGTTCTTCACTCTAGGGTGTCGAGGATATCAATCATCAACCAGGGTGGGATCTGTAGCTCCTTTAGGGAACCAAGAGTAGGTCGAATACTATAGAAATGATTCTCTGAAGTATTGTCGACATGAAGAAAAAAGAAGAAGAAGAGTCTAAGATTCGCGGTGGAAGGTCGCCTTTATATAGATTTCTCCAACGACCGGTTTCGCGCACGGGCCAGGGGCGGTTGGAGTGGGTTTTTGGTGGGTTTTGCTGCCTGCGGTCGGCGACGACTGCTGAAATTTTCGACAAATGGCTGGTCACCGCCCAAACTTTTTGTGATTTTGCCGCTTTTCGATGAAGGAGTATTCTGCGTGAAGAACCTTCCTTCCACATCTCGCGGGTGCTGCGCAATAAGGGCTTGCGCGCAGAGCTTTTTAGAGATTTGGTCATTAGAGAGAGGTGATTTTACACAGCTCCAGTTCCTTCTGGATGTCCATAATTATTGTTCTGCGCGGGCATGGCAGATGTACCTTGTGCCAGGCAGATATCCCGATCTATTCGCAGAGCTGCTTTGAGATACCTTGCTCACGTGAACACGCATTCAAAATCACCTTGAAGGTTGTGACGCGCGGTCAAGTACGTCTTCGTGGTTCGGGCGATATTAGATCAGGTTGCTAATGTAAGGTACCTGGACTTGAGACGCGTTGGACTGCAAAAACGGGCAGGCACCGAGTCTTCACGAGTGCAGCAGCCGAAGCCTGAAATTTGTTGCCATTCAGCACCTCAGTTTAAGATATGGCGAGCTGCCTCGTGGACCGTCTTCAGGCTATCATCTGCTAATGCGTTGCTTGCGATGATTTCTGAGCAAGGCAGACAGAGGCGTACCGAGTAATCATGTCTTCCAGGCATCCTTCATGTGGATTATGGATGTGCTTGAGCCGCATGACATCTAGCAGACGAGGTCTTTGGTACGACTTTCGACAGAGAACAGTACGAAGGTACAGTACCTCGAATTGTACTTAGATGGGCAGCGCGCAAGAATTGAAAGCAGGCCAAAAGCGTGCAGTTTAAGCCTAGTCGGCCATTTCAGGTAGTGTCAAGATGTCACAAAGCCAAGGGTAGACGACGAAAGTATGTCGAGCACTCAACGGGATCGGAAAACGGTAGTACGAGTCCCCAATTCTTAAAAGCGCCGTGACAGTTTTTCAACTGCCATCAGTCTACCCGGCTTAAGTTCAACTCCACGTCCAAGTACGAGAGACGCATAAATGCATTTCCAGACTGGCGACGCGGAGCCGGTTTCTTCTAGAGCCGGGGGTTTCAACTTTGAAGAAGAAAAAGAAGAAGAGGAAAACGAAGTTTTGCGCCGACCGATTTCTCATAAAAAGACCAGCCTGCGGGTGGGGGACGCGGAAGGCGGGCGCTTGGGCCATTCATATCACGTGTTTCTTTATTCGGATGGCTACCTATTCTGCTGCAGTACGTAATGCATTTGCTGAGGTAAGGCACAGCACTTTAGGTAATCAGCGAGTGTCCACTCAAGGCCCAGTGGCTGGAGCCTAGCGTCTCGTCGCATCCGATTGGTGCACCAGCCACCCGGGAGGAATGATGTCGCCAAGCCCGGTCCTGACTTACGCATACACCTCCGTACTCCATGCGACCAAGTACCTTACCTACATTCATCAAGACCAACAATCCACTCGCCCTTGACCGTTTTCGGCATTGATCCAACTACCACCCCGACGAACCCGCAGTGACGACCATCAATCTTGTGATACCCAACGAAGCCAAACGATCACAGCTCGCCTACAGCCTTCGCAACAAGGAGTGCCGCCCTCCATCCTCTCACTTCATCCCTTTATCGCCTTATTGAAGGCGAAAGGTCACCAACGACATCTCCCTCCGACTTTCTAAAACCTCCCGATCAACGAACTTTCCACCTCCCCAATACCGCCGCCACCATGTCCAACCCACTCGAAACCGAGCCCGGCTCCGAGCGCTTCGGCGACTACGAAGCAGAGCTGAAGCTCGTCCAAGCCGACCTCGTCCAGAAACTCGACCAGATCCCCGAACTCTCAGGCGAGCCCCGCAAAGCCGCCCTTTCCTCCGCCGAGCGCGCCCTCGAGGAGGCCGACGAGCTCCTCGCCCAGATGCGCCTCGAAAAGGCAAACATCCCCACCACCCTCCGCTCCAAGATCAACGCCCGCTTCCGCAACCACGAGTCCGACATTGACGGCCACAAGCGCAAGCTGCGCTCCCTCGCCGACGACCGCGCCGCCCTGTTCGGCGCGCGCTACACCGACAACCCCTCGGGCAGCGGCCAGGACGTCCAACTCGAGCAGCGCCAGCAGCTGCTTTCCGGTACGGACCGCCTCGACCGCTCTACGCAGCGGCTCAAGGCTAGTCAGGCCCTCGCCAACGAGACGGAGGGCATCGGAGCCGGTATCCTTGGCGACTTGCACACCCAGCGCGAAACCATCCTGCACACCCAATCGCGCCTACTCGAGAGCGAGGGATATGTGGACCGTAGCGTCAAGACGTTGCGGGGGATGGCACGTAGGTAAATATTCGTCCCTTAATATCCTTGGTTGTTTGGATCTCCGAGGTAAAGAATCTAGACTGACATGCTCAAAGGATGGCTACCAACCGGGTGATTACGATTTCCATCATCACCATCCTGGTTCTTCTCATTATCGCCGTCATTTACAGCAAGTTCAGATGAAGGAACGCAGCAACAATAGCAGCAGTAACAATTATCCCCGTCAGGAGTGCGGGGCCCGGAGTTTTGGGTTGTATAAGGATTCTACCACGACTGTACTTTGATCACTCCCATCGGGAACCTCATTACGTTTTCTTTTTCTTATGTGTGCTTCTTTTTTGCGAGCAAAGTGAAAGAGAGAGAGAGAGAGAGAGAGAGAGAGAGAGAGAGAGAGAGAGAGAAGGGCCTCGAGTGCAATGTCATATAACGATTGGGGAAAAGCCCCTGGTCTGGGTTTGAGAGCAAGAGGCCGAGTCCAAACAGAGACAAGACGTAACAAAAAACAAGAAAACCATCATGACGCTACCAAATGTGCCTTGGACAATTGGCAGTGTATCCAACACTATTATGCATGAGAATATGTCGTTCTAATCGCTCTTTTGTAAATGTCAATTTCTTTTTTCTCTATTTACCGTACCCGACAAGACGCCGACATGACAATGTTTAAGAGACCCTCTTTTTCCCTTTTCAACTCGGGGTCGCTTTTAACCTCATTGAATGGGTATAATCACACTTTTAAATCTTCAAAGAAACCATCTCCTCCTTTGCAAAAATGATCTCATCTCCGTCCACGGCCGCCTCTGCCCTTGTTGACACCTCCGCCCGACGGACCAGCTGATCGTCTCCTGTCCTCGCCGAGTCCCTTGCGGCCGGCAGCAATACCACCCTTGCCACCGCGACCGCCACGATCACCACCGCCGCCGCGTCCACCACGTCCTCCGCGTCCTCCGCGGTCCTGGCCACCCCGTCCGCCACGGAAGGGCGGTCTACCGCCGCCGCGGCTCTTGTCGACCTGGGCCTTGACGGCAGCGGCGTCGCCCTCGTCCATGTCCTCCATCTCCTCGTCGTCCTGGCCGCGCTTGTTGCTGAACTTGAGCTTGCCGCGGAGACCTCTCTTGCCGGCGTCCTTGCCCTTGAGCGCGGCGACGTAGGCGTTGACGCCGGAGCCGTCGTTCTCGACGCCGTCGACTTCCATCGCCTCGTCGTCGTCCTTGCCGAGGATGAGCTTGCCGTCGAGGTCGGTCTTGGCCTTGGTCCGGCCCGGCTTGCGCATCTTGACGGGCTTGGTGGACGAGATGTTGGCCAGGGCGTTGCGGTCGAGCAGATCGAGCGGTTCGTCCTCGTCTTCGACAATGTAGGTATTGCCACCCTTTCTGTTGCCGCGCTTGCCCTTGGCGCCGGCGGCCGCGGCGGGGCCCTCGTCGTCGTCGGACCCGTCGTCCGAGTCGTCCGAGTCGCTGCTGTAGAGGGCCTGGTCAAGCTCGTTGTCGAACTTGCGTCCCTGGCGGCCTTCCTCTTCGTCGCTCTCCTCGCCGGCGGCCTTGGCTGCATCCTTCTTCTTCTTGGCGCGGTCCTTGGTCTTGCGGATGTTGACAATGAGCTTCCTGTCGCTCTCTGGGCAGTTCTGGTTGACGAGGTCGAAGCCGAACTTGCGGATCATGCGCTCCAGGATGTGCCTGACCTTGCTCTTGAAGTGGCCCTTGTGCTCGTGGCTCCAGATGATGAGGTTGGGGACCATGGAGGACAGGCGGGGAATGACGAGCTCCGAGGGAAGACTGACGACGCAGATCTTGACGAAGCCCAGGACGCTCTTGACGATCTCGCGGTTGTTGGAGGTCAGGAAGAGGTCCATGGTCTGCACGAGGTCGGCCAGGGTCTGAGTGCTGACGGATCTTCTGAACTCGTACAGCACGCGGCTGAGGGCGGTGATGGATGCTGAGATCATGTGAGGAGTGCTGCCGACGAGACCGGCACTAACCATGGTGAGGAACTCCTCAACATTGGCTTTACCGGCGGGCGCGTCTGCAGGCATATGAGGAATCTTGCTGTTATCGATAGGGGCGTCGTTCGCAGACTCCATGCGGTGACCGATCTGCACAAGGAGGTCGTACGCAGCCTCTCTGGCGCGCTCGTTGTTCTCCTTGCAGCAAATGACGACTTCGCTAAGGATGGAGGGAATGAAGTGGAGTGAGGTATCGGGGATGAAAGGCAGCAGGGCAGAGAGAGCAGCAAGGCGTTCTCTGCGAGCGGGGGCGGAAACCTTTTCGGCGCTCGACAGGAACATCTGCTGCAGCTCGTCATTGCGTGCTGCGAGGGCCTGCTTGCCGGTTTCTGACTCGGTAAGGCGGGGAACCAGCTTGTAAGCCTTCTTCTGCAACTGAGGTTCGTTGTCCCTGAAGATGATGACGTTGGCAATTTCGAACAGAGCCGTGTAGCTTTCGCGAGGCAGGTAGAGTGCAATGCAGATGATCAAATCCATCAAGGTGTTGCTTGTTGAGGGCATAGCATTCTGCTTGGGTTGTTGTTTGGGCTTCTCCTGGTCGGCAGTCTGCTGCAGTTCCGCTGCGAGCATCTTGCTGACCCGGTCAAAGGTATCGATGAGCTCCTGCTTGGGGGTGACGCTGAGGAAAGCATTAATGGTGAGGAGGATAGGTCCTCTTGACTGAGGAAGGGTCTGGGTGTAGACGTTGAAGAGAACGGCGAGCATGTTTCCGGCAAAGCTACCCAAGTGCTCGAGGTTCTTCTTCGCCGTAGCCCTGGAGATGCGGCTTTGAAGAACGAGATCTTCCTCGTCGTCATCCTCGATGGTTGCAATAGCCTGGTTGGATTCGATGAGAATCTTGAGCGCACGGCAGACCTCCAGACGCAACTCGACCTGCTTGTACAGGATGTTTGCCAGAAGCTCGGCGAATGACTGGTCGAAAGCCTCGGTAACGTCAAGCGGGAGATCGCAGTAGCCGGGCAAGGTCGCCCAAATTTGCTGTACAAGGGTCTCGAAGATCTTGACTTCCAAAGTCTTCTCGGCCTTGCCGTGATCAAGCACCTTTTGGAACATGAGCTCACTGAGAGGGACCATCTCTTGACGGAAGTGGGCGAGGTTGGTGTTGCTGAGGTAGTCACGCAGGATGGGGAACATCCAGGCGCGGCCCTGTTGTCCCTTGGCGGGCTTCGCGATGTTCAGGGGCAAAATGGACAGAACAGCCTCGGGGCCCATGGCGCGGATGGCCTTGCCAATGACTTCGTCGGCCTCCTTCTTGCCCTGGAAAGAGTCACTGCCACGGAGTTCTCCAACAGCCTTGGTGATGTTGAGCATCATGGGGTTTGCCCGCCATCTCAAGGAGTCGAACATGGCTCCAAAGACGTTGAAACTCTCCATCCAGGCTTGTTGGTACTTGAGGCTGAGCAGAGACTCGGCAATCTTGGCAATCTTGTCCAGAGTCTTCTCGTCATAAACTGATGGCTCCAGAATGACCGGCTGCGGAACACAGTTCGCCATAAATGAGACCAAGCACTCGGAAGCGGAAATCCGGATGTTGTGTGCGGGGGACTCGAGGTACTGGGCGACCATTGAGAAAATTTCGGGCAGCTCCTGGAAAACTTCATCGGGGTCGAGTTGTGCAGAGACATCGTAACCTCTCGAGAGGATTGCCAGCCATGGCGGAATAAGTTGCGTGTCGTTTGCGGCAGGGCGCAACTCCGAAATGATTTCCATCAGTCGTGGGAGCTTGGACGAAGCGACGTCGTCGGCCATACCCTCGAAAATCATTTCGAAAATCTCAAAAGTCGCCATCGTCATGTACTCGTTGCCGGATCTCGAGATTCCGAGGAGGAGGTCGCACAGAGACTCGATCTTCTTGCTGGGCCAACCACCACTTGCAGAGGCAATGGTCTTGATGAGCTGAAGAGCGTGGATCAGAGCGGGATCGTGGGCAGACTCGGCTCCTTTCTGCTTCTTTGCCGCCGCGGCCTTTCCAGCAATATCCTCGAGGTTAGCGAGAGCGGTGTGAGCGCACATGTCCGCAGCCGGGTGGTCGAGTGAGGGGCTCGGGGGCGGGTTCTTGAGGACGTTTCGGAGCGCTTCCTGAGCCCTCTTGCGGATTTTCGGGCGCTGCTCGAGAGCGAGGTTCAGCAGACCGGCGACGGCTCTGCGGGGGCCGATCTGGGTGACGCCCAGCTCCCAAGCACCGGCATCTTGTGCGAGAAGAAGAGACTCAAGGCATCCGATGGACGAGCGGAGGAGGAGGGCTTCGGCATCTTGTTGCAGGAGAACGGGTGCGAGCGAGGTGAGGATCTGGGTGAACTTGGCGCGAAGGATAGGTTGAGGCGCAAACGGGGTGACGATATCGAGGAGGTAAACCACGGAGGTCGTCGTGTCGGAGCTGATGTTGCCGCTCTCTACAGCTTGGGTGAGGAGGCCGAGAAGGGCGGCGAAGTAGCCAGTCGGTGTGTGCTGAGCGTTTTGCTCCTTCAGTGTTGTGTCGACCGCCTCGAGGACTACGGCAGTCTTGAACCATGTTAGTAAGGATAACAGCCAAACTGAAAACATTCGGTAAAGCTTACCCTCTTTTGACTTTGCAGACCCGGGGAGCGGATCTTGTCCAGCTTCTCGGCAAGAGTTGGAGTCGACATTGTGCTTGTCGTATTCCAATTCCGTCGGGGACCAACTGTGGAAGAGACGATGCAAGTCAAAGCCGGTGTGGTCGAGGATCCCGTCCTCTCAGTGTCCCAAATTTTTCCTGGCGCAAAAAAATCCTTATCGAACCACCCCGCCCCCGATAAGACTCGCTTAACAAGGGTACGTACCGTGTCGGAAGACAGCTTTGGCCAGGAGGTTGTACACCTCGCACGGTCCTTCAACGGTGGTGGATTCCAACGTTGAAATCCCCCACAATCGCCGTCAGCAAGTTGCGAGCTCAGGAATGGCAATTTCAGTCTCCATGGAACATGAGTACTTCGTTTCTCATGTTTTCAATAATCGTATTACTAATTGGATGTAACTAGGGTGTCTCCAATAGAGATCCCTTGATATAAGCTACACAATTGACACATACTTACGCGTGCACAACAAGATGGGACTATTGCAGAAGTTCTCACCAGTTATCTGGGCGTCCCTCAGTTAGTAGGGATTCCGTCGGCCTTTATAGCTACCATAACCGTATTTGCTACCTTAGGTATTCAGACACTCTCGTACTTTCGGACTCTTTACTACGGGTCCACATCCTAGAGCGCAATCATATTGAAGACTCATCCTTGTTTCTCGTTCCAAGGCTGCAGATGGGAGAGAATGATCGGGTATGGCTTCCTTCGTGTACAAAGTATGTAAGCGGCGAAGCCCGGTTTACAAGACAAGAATTGCCCTCCGTCCCCGTGCCAGGTTCCCAGCTCTCCTCCCACCGGCATTTCATATCTTCATCACGCCTATTCCGTATCCCGCCGGCCCTTTCAGTAATCCCGTTGGCAAACTTAATCAAGTGATCCATTTTCTTCAACTCTGGTCATTATCTTCGTCGTCCATCGTAACTCGTGAGGAAAAGTTTCTCATTGCCAGTTACATACGATGTAAGTGAGCTATCCGAAACCCTACTTATTCACAACTGCTCGACCTGCCAAGCTTTCGCTTCTCAGTTTCAAAGGCCTAGACATTGATTCGGTTTACATGAACGCGTAACTACCCAAACTAAGCCTTTTGACAAGTTCTAGTCCGTGAATGTCACTGTTCGGGATTCGAAAGCCGGACCCATCTTTTGTCAATGTAGGCCAAAGTTTTAATTTAAACATTTCTCGAATGTCTATCCACATCTTACGGTTGAATGAGTCGTAGTCTTCCCTCGTAGGCCAGCCCGGCAGTTATCTACCTGGTAGTCGTGATCTTCCCCTTACCTCAAGAGCCATGTGCCTTAAGTCCCCGAGACATTCGTATCATCGTATTCCGAGGACACCGACGGTAGGATGGTGTCTTTATAAAGCGTCGGAGCTGCACTTACGTGGTAGACTTCAGTCCCATAACTCAGACATAACTCATCTCTACTGTTCTCTCACAAACCCTCCTTCAACTTACACCACAATGCAGTTCTCAACTCTCTTCGGAGCCGTAGCCATCGTTGCCGGATTGGTCTCGGCCGCGCCCGCATCAGAGCAATCCGCCGTCAAGCGCCAGAACTGGCAGCAGTGCCTAAAGGCAGGCGATCGGTGCACAAACATCTTGGGAGGAGTTGGCGGTTGCGTTTGCGGTCTCAAGCTTGACCCTAGATACGACTGCGTTTGTGTTTAAGTAGGTCTACTATAGTTGCACAATGTTTTGAATTACATACTGACTTTGTAGAAGTATACCTCTTTCCATTACCAACATTCAGGCTACAGAATGAGTAGCAGTAGCACAGAGCACGGAAGGATGGTATGGCGCCCAAGCGAATGACTGTCTCATCGATTGAGACTATAGAATAAGCGTAGGAAATTTAAATGGAATGGTTTTCGGCTAGTACAATGATTCCAGACAATGCCAGTTCGATCCCTTCCTTTCCACCGTATCAAACTGTAGTAAAGGTCTTTTAGTTTAGTAAGTCTCATTTTATGAAGCGTGTCAAGTTATCTTTGAACATGGCGAGAAGAAACATCACGTTGGAATGTTGCATGACAGTCATCAATTAAGGGTCATCGTTGGCGTCTCAAAAGGTTGTTGTCGTATGAAGTTGCAGACGGAGGTTTACAGACGGAGGTCACCTCCGTCTATGGCGTGATGGTACGCAACCCACATATCAGACGAACGTGGGGTTCAACTTATCTATACCTACCTCACGAAACTTACCTGCAGGCAGAACATTTTCGCTCGAATCCATCATCTTTTGCACATACATCATGTCTCGAGACCCGAATCGTCCAAACGTCGTTCTGATCCTAGCCGACAACCTCGGCTGGGGTGAATTGGGCTGTTACGGCGGCGGCGCCCTCCGCGGCGCCGCAACGCCCCGGATCGACAAGCTCGCGACGCAAGGTCTCCTGCTGCACAACTTCAACGTGGAGAGCGACTGCGTGCCAACCCGCTCCGCGCTGATGACGGGCCGGCACCCGATCCGGACCGGCTGCCGACAATCCGTCCCCGCGGGGTTCCCGCAGGGTCTGACGCCGTGGGAGCGGACGCTGGCTGAGTGTCTCAAGGAGAACGACTATGCTACTGCACACCACGGGAAGTGGCATCTGGGAGATGTTCCCGGTCGGTACCCTTCGGACAGAGGTTTTGACGAGTGGTTTGGGATCCCGAGGACCACGGATGAGACGCAGTTTACGTCTGCGATTGGGTATACGCCCGAAGTGGCGGAGATGCCGTACATCATGAGGGGAGTTGCTGGGCAAAAGTCAGAGAATGTGCGCGTCTACGACTTGGAGGCCAGGAGACTCATCGACGAGATGCTAGTGGAGAAATCTAAAGACTGGCTGTCCCGTCAAGTCGCGGCTGAACGGCCATTCTTCCTCTACCGCCCTCTCGTCCACCTTCACTTCCCGACGCTGCCTCACAAAGACTTTGCGGGAACCACCAAACAAGGCGACTTTGCCGACTCCATGGCGGAGATGGATCACCGTGTAGGCCAACTCCTGGACCACATCGACTCCCTCGAAATTCGGGAAAATACAGTCGTCATCTTTGCCTCCGACAACGGTCCCGAGTTCAGGGAGCCGTACAGGGGCACGGCGGGGCCGTGGTCGGGGACATACCACACTGCCATGGAAGGCAGCCTACGCGTGCCCTTTATCATCCGGTGGCCGGGTCACGTTCCGGAAGGCGTCACGTCCAACGAGATCGTTCACGTAACGGACATTTTCACCACTATTTTGTCCATCACCAAGTCTGGAATTCCAGACGATCGACCCATTGACGGTATCGATCAGACAATCTTCTTCAAGAACCCGGCCAGTGTCAAGTCCGAGAGGCTGGGCTTCTTATTTTACATCAAAGAGGAGCTGCGGGCGATCAAATGGAAGGACTGGAAGATGCATCTCGTCTGGGAACCCAAGGTCAATCAGTCGTCGGGTCGGCTCGAGTCGCCCTATCTGTTTAACACCGTCAGGGACCCAAAGGAGGAATCGGATATCTTGTCGTTCAACACCTGGGTGTTACAGCCAATGACGAAGTTGAGAACTGAGTTTCAGAGGAGCCTGGCAAATGATCCGGCGCCGCCTGACCCGTTGAAGGATTTTCTCTGCTCCAATATAGACGTAGACATTCTCTGGTAGAGTACAGTAAGAATGCAATAGTCTTAGAGTCAGTCTCACAGCAAATGCTGTGTTGTTTGGACTTGTCTCGGTTGTGGTTGAGAACCTTTGTGATTTCTAGACTTCGTGATATCTAGATTGACAGCATCAGGCACACCTTGCATATGCACAATCTTAATGTGCTTCAAATTACACGACTTAAATATTCTACTGAGGCTGTTGTAGTCACGTTGATCACGAAAGCGGCTGATAATATCCGACTGGTTTGTCCCACACTCTAAAAGGCCCGGCCTATCGTGATGGAAACACAGCATATGCAACTAGATAATTATGGTCCTTGGCCGTAAGCAGGCTGAGCAATACGCGCAGCCAAAATCAGGACGAACTTCCCCAAAGAGAGGGCAGAGTAAGCCTTGTGTGATGGAAAGCAATTTGCCACGAGGACACCGAGCCACTAGCAAAGTCACATACATCAAAGATACCAATGCTCTCCAGCACCCACGAATCAATCTGGAAGTTTGGGAACCCTCTGTGTTCCTTCTACCCAATCTTGTGCGGTCAAGATAAAAGAGAAAGCCATACTCCATCACGATCAAGCGAGAAAACATTAGGCAGATACTTCGCGATGGCCTCAAAAACAACGTACGAGCCTCTGCTCGTAACACTTACCTTCACACCGGGTGGTTTCCAGCAGACTAAGATCCTCTCCATGGCACCGCAGACAACCCCCTTCACACCACCCAGCGGTCTCTGCTCTCCCGTCGACATTCGCTGCCTCGTAGGCAAGACAGAGGATCTCACGGGGGACGTCGAGTGCCTGCGAGACCAAGTCGTAGCCGAGACCACAGCCAGCCTCCCAACGCAATGCTTCCCCGAGAGTTACGCCGCAATCTGGCGACCATCCGGGAATACGTTCAGTGAGAATCATGTACTTATGAAAAAAGCCCTGAAAAAAGAAACGCTAACAAGACGGTGAATTCAGGCGACGTCGCAAGCGTAGCCTACCCAGGCACAGCCTGCATCTCCGGCTGGACGACGGCGTGCGAGACGACCCTGACCCTCGAGAGCGCGCAGACGTACACCCAGACGTGGTGCTGCCCGAGCTCGTACACCTGCCTCGTGCCCACGCCGGGCGGGACGCCCTACCGCGACTGCGTCAGTCTCCTGAGCACGAACACGGAAGTCTGGATCAACAACATCGCGACGAGCGGCGGGCGGGAGTCGACGCTCTGGAGCTCGTGGAGGAAGATCTCCCTCACCGGTCTCCCGAGTGCCGCCGGGGGACCCCTCTCGGTCAAACACCCCGTTTTTCCGCTCTACGGCCGTGTTCCTTCTTCTCAGGCCTCTGGTGTTGCTGGAGGGGAAAGTCTTTCGACTGGCGCTATCGCGGGGATTGCGGTTGGAGCGGTGGCGTTGGTTCTTCTGCTGCTCGGTGCCGGGTTCTTTATATGCCTTCGGAAGAGGAAGCAAAAGAGGGCTGCGACCGCAATCGCCGCGCAGAATGAGGGCAATACGGGCAATGAAGGATATGGGCAGAAAGGTTTTGGGTACGATGCGAAGCAAGAGTTACCCGGCCACGGAACAGAGATGACGGAAGTCGACGCTGCCACGCCGCCTCCCGTTGAGCTTTCGGCTTATACGAGGGCTGCGGAAGTGGAGGGCAGCCGGCCTGCTGAGTTGTCGTAGTAGCAATTCATGCGTTTTTGCTTCTTCAAACATACCTTATCTTACGGATCAGTTCTTGAATAACCCTTTCCTCGACTTGCTTTGGACGGTTGGTTTGTAGCGTGTATTAGTCGGCCCCACCTCGCTAGACCGCATTGTCTGAATCCCACATCTAAAGGCGTGTCGACAGCTTGCGGGTCTCAGCTTCGTGGTGTAAGTGAGTGAGAAACTCTTCTTGTGATTGGTCAAAGCCGTCGCCCTTGTCCAAACACGGAAGTCTTGATTTGGTCCCCGAATCAATGGGAGACATGTAAAGACTTCGCGCAGTAAATACTGTGAAAATGATATGACAACATACGATGTACACAATTCGAGTCTAAAAGTATATAATCCCTTCACCTTCCCAGTTCTTCTTACTAGTATCACACAATATCTTTCACAAACACATCCAACCCAGTCCTAAATTCTCCAAAATGTCTCAACCTCACGAAACCATCATCATAGTCGGAGCAGGCATCGTCGGCTCCGCCCTCGCCCACTTCCTCTCCTCATCGTCACCATCTTCACCAACCACCCCACGAACAATCACCCTCATCGACCGCTCCTTCGGTCCCCTCCTCGGCTCAACAGGCCACGCACCCGGCTTCGTCGGCCAATTCAACGAGTCCCCCGTCCTCACCAAACTAGCCATCGACTCCGTATCAGAATACACCAAAATCCCCGGCGGCTTCGACACCGTCGGCGGCCTAGAAATCGCCTTCCAGCCCGCCGGGTGCGAGCGCCTCAAAGCCAGATGCGCAACCGCCTCACAGCGCGGCCTAGCCGCTGAGATACTGAGCCTGAGAGAAGCACACACACTCGCGCCGGAGCTCGTCAGACAAGAAGAGTCTCCGGGGTCGGGGGCTGCAGTCTTCTTCCCTACCGACGGGACCGCCGACGCATGCAGAATCACCTCGTTCTACCAAGACTCTGCAAAGAAAGCAGGCGTCGAGTTCCTACAAACCTCTGTCGAGAAGCTACTCCTCACACCAGACGGCCGCATCAAGGGCGTCCAGGTCCTCGACCTCGGCTCCGCACAGCAACTCGAAGCCGATAAAGTCATCCTCACAACGGGCATCTGGGCCCGCGACCTCTGCCGCGACCTCCCCTTCCCCGTGCCCGTCATCCCCGTCGGACACCCCTACATGCACGCCCGCACCCGAACCCCCTTGCCTCCTCGAGAAAGCGCAAAATCAAAATCGGAATCGCTGCCCTTTGTGCGCTGGCCGGAACACCACGTCTACGCCAGAGACCACGGCACCCGCTACGGCATCGGAAGCTACGACCACCCGCCCGTAGGCTGCGCGCCGAACGCGCAAGACGGGACGGCGATCGGGGTCTGGATCCCTGATTTCCGGCAGACGCTCGAGGCTGCTAGAAAGATGCTACCCACAGCGACTGCGGCGGAGTTTGAGGAGGACGCGAGTGAGAATCAGACGAAGAGCAGGAGCTTCAATGGGATCTTCTCCATGACGCCCGATAACATGCCGCTTGCCGGTGCCGTGAGATCGGTGCCTGGGTTGCACATGGCCGTTGCGGTGTGGGTTACGCACGCTGCTGGGACGGCCAAGTTTTTGACGGGACTTTTGAATGGGAATGGGGTAGATCAGGAGACGTTGGGGGCTCTTGAGCCGGAGAGGTTTGCTGGGCGGGACTTTGCGACGCTGGAGGAGGAGTCGCTTTGTGGGTACAACTCTATTTACAAGACTGTGGCCAAGTAGACGTAGGAATAATCACCTAACATTTTGTTTTTTGCTATCTGAAGATCCTCCAAAGAGGTTCTCATGTCTAAAGCATATTTTGCACAGTCTTGGTCTTCTTTGTGTCAAATCTCGAACCCAAGGTCGAAAACCAACCGTCGGCCAGGTGGCACATCTGGCCGACGGTGAAGCGTGCCCAGTGCCGACAACCCTCACCAGACTCCCATAGCCGCCAAGCCAAGCTACTCGGCCTCTTTTTGGGTGCCGCCGCATGAAAAGCTTTTTACCCAGCGGAAGGAGTTCCCGAAGTAAAATTTTCAGACTTTCAGTTAATGGTTCACGGTGCTCCGGTGTACACCGAATCCTTCCCCGGCCGGGTGACACCCCGGATGAAACGGCCGAAGACCCACGCTACGGGCCGGACCACTCGGCCATCAACGACACGCGCCGAGAAGATTGCGGCAACAGACCGTGGGTAGTACACGGTGCTGACAAAACACACGATCTACCAAGTCTACAATGAAGCATTTGAAGTAGAATCAGATCCGCAACTCAGTATAAAATTGGCAACCTCTTACTTTCCGTTCCAATAGTCCCCTATCCCGCCATTCAACCTCATCTAACAACCCAGCTCCAAACTTACAAACCCAGCTCTCAAGATGGCCTCTCCCGCCACGAAAGCCCCAACCTCTCTCCCCCTCGAACTCGTCCAAAACCCAGCAGCAAAAGACGCACCCTACTACACCCCATCCCAATCTCCCCCCTCCGGAACAGCCATCCTCCCCTCCACCACCACCACCCCCCTCCCAAAACTCTTCACCCCCCTCGAAATCCGCTCCCTCACCCTCCAAAACCGCCTCTTCCTCGCCCCCCTCTGCCAATACTCCGCCTCGCCCCTGGCCGGAAACCTCGCAACAGACTGGCACCTGACCCACCTAGGCGGCATCCTCCAACGCGGGCCCGGCCTCTGCCTCATCGAATCCACCGCCGTCCTCCCGCAAGGCCGCATCACCCCGCAGGACCTAGGCCTCTGGTCCGACGCCCAGATCCCGCCCCTCCGCCGCATCACCGACTTCGCCCACGCCCAGTCCCAAAAGATCGGCATCCAGCTCTCCCACGCGGGCCGCAAAGCCAGCACCGTCGCCCCCTTCATCCACGCCAACGCCACCTCGCCCCCCGAAGCGCACGGCTGGCCGGACGAGGTCTACGCGCCCTCCCCCCTCCGCTTCAACGAAGCATACCCCCTCCCCAAAGCCCTAACTCTCCTCCAAATCGAATCCCTCAAAGAAGCCTTCGTCGCCGCCGCCCGCCGCGCAGTCCAAGCCGGCTTCGACGTGATCGAAATCCACGCCGCGCACGGCTACCTCCTCCACCAATTCCTCAGCCCAATCTCCAACGCCCGCACCGACGCCTACGGCTCCTCCTCCTTCGAAGACCGCACCCGTCTAGTTCTCGAAGTCACCTCCCTCGTCCGCGCCACGATCCCCGACACGATGCCGCTCTTCGTCCGCATCAGCGCGACGGATTGGTTCGACGACAGAACAGACCTCGTCCCGCACAGCTGGACGCTCGCCGACTCGTGTAGGCTGGCGCCGTTGCTCGCGGAGCGGGGCGTCGATCTGCTGGACGTCAGCTCCGGCGGGATTCATCCGCTGCAGGCGACGAGTATCAAGGGCGGACCCGGGTACCAGGCCGGTTTCGCAAAGGAGATTAAGAAAGTTGTCGGGGAGAGGATGCTGGTGTCGGCTGTGGGTGGTATTAGTACGGGGACCATGGCGGAGGGGTTCCTTCAGGAGGGGTTGGATGTGATTATGTGCGGTCGGTGGTTCCAGAAGAATCCTGGATTGGTGTATGCGTATGCCGATGAGCTTGGGGTCAATGTCAAGATGGCGAACCAGATTGGATGGGGGTTTGGTGGACGTGGAAAGGGGAAGACAGACGTGAGTGATAAAGAAGAACGCCTGTAGACTTTGTTAGATAGACCACAATAGACGCGGGTAGATCAGCCTACTGATGACTCAACTTATCCAGCATGTTCATCCAGAAACACTACTTATACGGAACCACGGTCGAGAATTGTTCAAAACTATAATTTGCCTGCTTTGACTACTAATACACCTCCAAACGCCTTCCTCCCGTTCATCGCAATTTGTTTCATGTAGGTATACTTCATAAACATTACCAAGGCCGTCGAATAACGGACTGTACCCTGTTTCCTATAACCCCAGCCGTTGTCGCGTGTCCCCATGTTTCTCTACTCTCGACAGAAAGAACAGACTTAGACTTCGGTCTCCACATCGGGCTTGCGACCGTTGAGAGCACCCATCTTGGTAATCTTCCGGATCGCAAACTTGGCCTCATCCTTGGCGAACTGCACATTACGCATTGGACGCCACTGCATCAGACCTCGATGTTGGCGGTGCAGGTCTCGGCTCCTGCTCTTGTAGTCTTTGTAAGCGGCAACAGGTCCGTTACCGTTGCTTTTTTGAGATGCGTCCGAGGGAGCCGCACTCGCGTTGCTGTCTGTCGACTGCCGTGTGCCATTGCTGCTGGCTCCGGTATCTTTGGTGCTGGCGTCTGTGAGTCCGAGATCCGGCTCACTACTGTTATCGTCATCGTCATAATCCGTATCGAAGTCATCGCGTCCCTCCGAGTTCAGATCTTCCTGATTCTCGTTATCGCCACCCATCATCTGTGTGGGATCTTTTCCAAAGGCAGTGCTCCAGTCGGTTCCGTCTTTGGAGAGCCACTTCTCTTTCTCCTTCGGATCAGTCTGGGCCAGGACATCGCGGCCTTGGGTCAGGGACTCATCATGCAGCTTCTGAACTGCGGGAGGCACCTCGGCTCGGACCTCCTCGCCTCGCACTCCCTCCGCAAAACAGGCCTCCCAGGTCTCAATTGTCTCGCGCGAATCGTTGTCAGTGACAAACTTGACGTGATCACCGTCGGTACCAGTGGAGAAACGACCCTTGAATCTGAGTCGACCAATTTCTTCAATCTTCATGTCGGGGATGTCTTTGAAGTTGTCCTGAGTGATGTAGTTCTGTGACAGACGCAGACCCTTGTCGCAGTTGAAGATGGGAATATCAAAGTCGCGTTCCTCGCAATCCGGGAAGTCCTGGAGCCATAGTGACGCAAAAGCGTCGGCATGACGCTTTCCGGGAGGGTAAAACTCAAAGAATACTGGGGATCTGTAGCGGTAACGAACAGGAAGACGGATCTTCTCGTGTTTCTCATCGCCACTGATGTCCCATGAAAAGCCGTCTTGCTCCTCCAGCTTGTTACAGGCGTCTCGCTTGATGCTAGAAGAGCTGCCACCAGTACGAAGGCGGATCTTGGTCTTCAATTTACCGTAGCCAGCAGCAGTGATTTGCTGAGACGTGAACTCGAATGTACCAACATCCCAGCCAAGCTGAGCAGGAGGCAGACGCAGTTCAACAGACCTGAAGAGAAGGGAGATACGGATTCTTCCGTATCCAACTCCGCCATCGAGAGGGTACCATCTTGTGGCTTCACTTCCAGATCGCAAAATATCGGAAAGCTTGAGAGGGACCACGCCAATGATGGGATCGTGTTGCCTGTTGCGGGAGTCGCGGACAGTAATTGTCACAATGCCAGACCTCCAATCGCGAATGAACTTTTCGGTACCGGCGTTGAAGATGGGTTGCGAGGAGACGGCCTTTGTACGTGTCTTGTAGATCAGTTCATCGTTGACGAGAATCGTGCAGTATGAGCTAGGCAACTTGCTGCCCTGTTCCTCCTTGACCTCGCCAGCATCGAGGCGCGCAGGTTCGTACTCGCGTCCCTTGCGCTTACCGTTGGAACCCTTCACATTGGCGAGCTCCAATCCAACAATCTGGTGGACGACGATGCTGAGAATGCCAGAGGGCCAGAGAGGGTCGGGAGGAGTGTGCTCGACAGCATCCTCCATGTCGTTTTCAATGGTGCCCTTTTCGTCCTGAAGCTCCTTTTTGTCCCTCAGTTCAGGAGGCAGATTGACGTCCTTACCATCGGTACGAAGAGCCTTGCGGAACTGGGTCTTGCCGAAGAAGCCAACCTCCCAGTGCAGCTCGCCAGGCATAGAGGTCTCGGCCTTGACGCCAGCAAGCTTGGAAACCTGGGGGAACATCTTGCCGGGGTGTTGAATGAGTTTCTGAATGCTCAACTCGACCTTGCCAACGACATCGTCCGCAGATGAGCGATCGCTGTCCCACAGCTCGACCGAAAGTTGCTCGTCCGCCTTGATCAAATCGGCTGTGACCAACAGGCCGCAGCTCTCCTCGAAGACGGGGTTGAGGTCATCTTGGATGACACGGGTACAGAACTGGGGCTTGGAGAACTTGCTCCAGGCGACGGTGATGTAGGGGTCGGAGCCTCCGCCCTCACTGCCCCGGCGGTCTTGCTTGCTGAGGCCCGTTGCCTTATGAATACGGATGAAGAGAAGTCCGAGCGCAAGCGTCTCCTTCTTGATGTCGTCGCCTTGCAGCATCTTGCTCAAGTCGAGAGTCATGCTCTTGGGAGCGACGTACATTGAAGCAGCGGTGCCGATGGCCCAGTTGACAAAGTTGGAGATGAGAGGCAAGTTCAGAATATTGACTCCCTTTTCAATCATTGGCGTGCAACCAGCCTGAACTTTGGGAATACCCATCAAAGTAAAAGTGAGGGTCTTGAGGAAAGGCGGTTCAGGGGTAAGCTGCAATCTGATACGGGCGGTGGCGACAAGTCCCTGAAGTTCAACCCCTACTAGTCGTTAGATAATGCTAGGGGTACAATGTGTTTTGGTGCACTTACAAATTGGGAGGGGGACGCCAAAGAGACCTCGAACACCGAGGTAAAAGACGAGCTGCATTCCCATGTTGCGGGCCTTTGACGAAACGTCAGAGCCGGACGGCTTCGCGTGGTAAGCAACTGAGGCCTCCAGGTTGTAGAAGTCACCAGCTTGCTCCATGGCGGCCAGTTCGTTGGGGTCAGTGTTCTTCTGGTTCTGCTTGTGGGCCTCGTCCTTGATGTCCTTGACGTGGCTATCGGGAAGGGCGCGCAAGCTGAGAATGCGGAGCGGGTTGCTGCCCTGCGAGATGTCGGCAACGCGCACGTTCTCGATGACGCCGGGCACTGAGGCAACCATGACGTCCTCGAGGGTATCGGCAATGCCAGCAAACATCTCGGGGTTAATGAGATTCCACATGATGCCGACGGCGGTGTTCATCCACTGGAATTTATTAGCTTCATGTCATGGCTGTGCAGAAATGGGGGGACCACGCACCTCGACGGATTCGGGGACCAGGTTGACGGTTGCTGTTTCGCCACGCGCCTGCTCACTAGACCATTCGGTGTTTCTTCCCTGCGTAATGAGGTCCTTTATCCACAGAAAGACACCAGAGGCGACGCACGCTCCGAGAGGAAGCAGGCCATAGAGCGAGCCGCCAAAGAACTTGCCGACGATGACGATGGCGAAGAAGATACCAGCGCACAGAATGTTGCCGCGTCTCTCGAGGTGCTCGAACATGGGCTCGTAGCTGACGCTGGGGGTGTGGAAAAAGTTCACGTTGGTCTTCTCGCTGTGGATGGGCACGTCGGTGGTGCTACCGGGCTCGACGGGGTCGGGCGGCGCCGTGACATCTTGGGCCCATCGGTACTCCTCGCCAGACTGATTAGGGGACGTGGAGACTGTAGCGTCCTTTCCGAGGTTCTTGTTGGGAACGGATATCTACCAATTGTTGTGTTAGTATGGGTTCTAGAGTGGGCAGGGCTTGATGCCCGGCGAGAAAGGAAGGATTATGGGATGATCTCACGTGGGGGTTTTCAACAACGTCCTTGAAGTTTTCCTTGGGGTTCTCAATCTCGACATCCTTGCCAGTAACGGGATCCCGCACGGTCTTGGTCTTCTTGCGAGCACCTTTTGGTTTCTCGGGGACATGATCCTTTGTGTCTTGGAGATTTTGTTGCTGTTGCTGTTGCTGCTGTGTGGCGTTGCCGTTTTGTTGCTGCTGGCGGGCAGCTTCCTTGGCGATCCTCGCGTGCTCCTTATCCTCGGCTTCAATGGCAGCGTCGCGCTCGCGCTTCTCCTTGTCGAGCTGGGCGACGAACTCGTGAATGTTTGGGATGCGGTTCCGGCCGCTGTAGTGTTGGCCGCCGGTCGGCACCGTGTGTTCGTCGTAGTTCATCTTGCTACCATGGACAATGCCTGATTCTCTGGGGTGTTTTTTGTCTTGGATTGTGGATGAAGATTATAGACCAGTCGTAGCTGAGACTACGCTGTCAAAGATCCAAATCAGTTGCCTAGTGTTTGGGTAAACACGAAAGAACAAAAAGGCAAAGAGAATTGAGCAGAAGGAGAATCAAGCAGGTAAGATCGAAATGTGCGGAGGTTAAAGGTCTCGGGGGATAGGGATATAATCATAGGTATGCAGATCATCCAGCAGACCAGCAGGGCAAAGGGGGGAAAAGGGAACCTAACCAACCGGCAATCCCATGAAATGGATGAGGTGGGAAAAGAGCCCCTCCAATTGCCTCATAGCTCCCCTTCAGCTCTAGCCAGCTAGCTCGCTTCACCATGAATGCCTACCTTACCTACCTTGGTAGTGTACATTACCTCAGGTTGGGTTAGCACCTCTGTCCCTTCAGCTGCAGCTTGTGGGTGCAGCAACAGAGCAGGCTGGGTGGGAAGCTGTGATGGTCAATGACGTAGCGTGTCTTGCGAACTTGCGACTTTGATGGCGGGAAAAAAGCCCACTAACAGCCATGCGCGGCCCCGCCCCCGAAGCAAGCCCCCGGCTCCTTACAGGCCCCCCTATGACGGAAGAAGTCTCCGGTACTTTGGCCTGGTCCAAGCGTAGCCGTCACCTCTTCTCGCCCCGACCTGCCTTGCGCTTTCACTTCCGTGCCTATTGTACGTTGTCGCTTCTTAACCAAAGGTGACTTTGCTGGCTGGGTCTAGACGGATTGATATGTTCATGATAATTTGCAGCCACAAACATTCCTCCGGGCCAAGTTGTCAGGACTAGAGACGCGGTAGGACTCACTCTGCCACCGTGGCTGGAACGCTCCACGCTCAATGGCCCCAAGGTCTAGCCAGACTGCAGCCCCCCTTTTGGATTACCTACCTAAAAGTATTGAATGGGACACGCTGGACTGGGCTGGTGGCAAGGCTTTAGGCGAAGAGCCAGCATTCCCGCTCTACACTACTATTCATCAAAGTGCTCAATTTCCTGTTTTCCCGCATGTTTCAATGGACTGCGTGACAAAAAACGATGCGACAAGCCTATGGCCGATCTGCAGTAGGGATCGCACAATGTGCTTGCGTACATGGCTGGCAAAGGGAAAACAACATGGCCTGGGCCGCGTGTTCATTGGCCTTTCACCCCGGCCCCTTGGCTTTTGCGATTAGCTCACTCCTCATTGAGCTTGTGCTGGCTTGACAGCTGGAGTTCTGGGCATGAGGGGGAACGTTTGGTCCGGCTCGTGATGGTCGGTTGGTTTAATGTGGATTCCTATGTTCATCTTCTTCGTATGCAGATGGAGAGAGGACTCAGGAGATATCTACCTGTTTCTTGGAGAAACTGTTCTCCACGGTATCAATCTTCACATCCCAGGCGATACAGATAAGCCAACATATGCGTACAGTAAATACCATCCTACCCGAGGGCGGCTCCTGATCGTCGTCCAGGTTTGTCAAAAATGTGTGAGGTCAGTCCATCGCAAACCTTCCGGGCGGCTCACTGGACAGGCACGACCTGACAGGGCATGGAACATGGGGTGCCGCTTGTCCCGGCCGGCGGGAGGAGAGAAGCGACGATTGCGTTTACAGGGCCTGTCTTTTTTGGTAGCAGCAGCAGCAGCAGCAGCAGCAGCAGCAAAAATAAACCACCTTGCCGGATGTTACGCAAGCCAAGCTCCAGCGTTCCGTCAGTCCACATTTTCATCATTGATCCCGACTCCCCGCTTTCCATCACCTCTGCTGTTACACAACCAACACTGTGTTGTCCACGTCGCCAGACTCATCTTTCGTTTTGTCGTTTCAACTTTTCCCGTTCATTGCTTCGTTGTCGGCTGTTAGTCTGGTATCTTAGGAATAGGCAGGGAGGGGTGTTGGTTCGTGAACTCGTGGTCGCTGGCCAGACTGGTCTTTTGGCCGCCACAAGTTTGTGCCACTTTACGTCCAAGCTCCCAACTACCTTCCCTTAGGTACCTAGATACCGAGAGAGGTCAGTACAATATTCACTGGTCTGTCAACAAACATACATGTATATTTGACGAAATTGTGACCCAGGATTGTGAATTCGCTTGTGATTCTGATAGTGATTCCAACTTGATGAAGTGAATGGGTGTACTGATACTCTTGAAAAGGGTGCTCATCAACATCTATGACTAGAAAACTATCGTCGCCCACTCACTTGCCCGTCCCAGTACGCGGCTGAATACGTGGAGGAACATCAGTCATCGAACAGAGGACCAATGGTATGGTTCATAGCGCGTCGTGTTTCTCGTTATAACCTCAACCGATACATGTACATAATCCTACAAAAATACCACCATTTTCAAATGACGCTCCCAAAACACCACGCAGATGCAATTTGCTCTTGTCAAGTCCAGTCCAACCCCAACCAAATTAGATCCCGCACCAGCTCCTCTTCCTCTAAGTAGCTCGCACTCTGATCAATGAACGACCATATCAGGGGGTATAGGCGTGTCCCGCCGACTCCCAGTATCCGGGTTAATTAGGTCCGCCGACCCCAGCCTGTCGCACTGTGACACGAGACGCTTCGGCACCGTCGGCGTCGTCAGGTCCATCTCCATATCCCCCGGCGTCAAGCCCCGATCGGAACACGCGTACGAGACGCTACTCGTGTCCGACATCTCAACGTCCTCTCCTTCACCAGCGGCCTCCTCAAACGTCTCGACGCTAGGCGTCGGGAGATCGCCGCACGTCTGCACCTCCACAATGGGAGGGGGACGAGCAGCCACGGGCTTCCTTTGAGGAACCGACAACACCGGCGTCTGTGCCGCCGCCGCCGCCGCCTCGGCCGCCCGCAAAGCCGCCACCGCACCCCCCAAATTCTCCTCGTCCTCCTCCTGGTTCCCAATCGTCCACACCCACCGCCTCTTCTTCTCCTTGCGCTTGGTCCGCTTCCTGATACCGCCAGACGGGCTGACCGGCGGCGAGTTGGCCGCCAGCCCCGCCATCCGCCGCCGCATCTCCTCAAACGGCCCCGGCGTCATGCCGCCGTCGCGGGCCTCGTCGCTCGTGAACGCCATGGCGAGGTCCAGCACCGTGTTGGCCTCCTCCTGGCCCGGTGCCGGTGCAAGTGCCGTCTCCGTTGCTGCTGCTGCCGTTGCTGCCGCCGCCGCCGGTGATGCCGGGGAAACGACGTCCTCGACGAGCAGGTCAATGTGGGACTTTGTGTACGTTTCCGTTGTTATTGTCTGCTCGATGGGGCTGTTGTAGGCTACACGGCGGGCCGCCTTTTCTTGCAAGCGCAAGGACTGCCGGCGCGGTGAGATGGGAGTTTTGGCACTCGGCGGAGGGAGAGGCGAGTTGCGGAGGATGCTGTGGAGGGAGCGAGGATGCGTGTAAGGCAGCTTTGAGCCAACGAGGGTCAGGTTGTTGTTGCGTTTCCTCTGCGAGCGCGGCTCCGGTTGGTTGGCGATGAGGCCGATTGCCGTGAGGGGCGTCTTGGTGTCGATTGGCGAGAAGCCAAACATTTGGGGACCTTGGTTGGGCTCTACGGGGCCGGCAGAGAGAGGCGGGGTGGCTGTCATGGTGCTCGGAAAGGTGATCTCCATTGCGACACCGGGTGAGAGAGGGTGTGCGGTCAACGGTGTCTCAGGGTAGGAGACTGCGTAGGGCGTCTGGATGCGCAACTGGGGTGTCTTTGGGCCATTCTGCAGGCGCGAGGGCTGTGGTTGGGAGGTGTTGATGGCCGTGAGCGGTTCTAACGCCGTGGGTGTCGACCGCTCAATGGCAGTAACGTAGACGTTGGAGAGGGTGTTGAAGGTGGTTGGGTCCTTGGGATCGATGACGGAAAAGGACTTGTTGATCCTTGTGTGAGGTGCCGGTGATGTCTTGATGCTCAGAGACAGCTTTGGCCTTCTTGAGGCGGTTCCAGTCTGAGTAGCCATCGTGACCACGTGATGTGCCAATGTTGGACCCGGAAGAGTGGTATAAGTTGATGAGTCTGCGGCTCAGCCTAGATAGCCAGCAGATTGGGTCGTACAGGGGTCAAGTGACGACCTTAGCCTCCCGAACTGTTGGAATCCCCGGGATGAGACAAATCAGTTCAGAAAGAGGGGGGAAACCAGCAATCGACGAGATGTGGGAAAGAGAGGGATGGCGGCTATATAGATTAGGTTGCAAGTGGTGCAACGGTTAGAGTTGCTGGGTTTTTTTGTGAGGGGGTTTATCCAAGCTGGAGTCTCTGGGTGGCCGTCTGAAGAGGCGCCGCTAGACAGACATATATGCAATGCAGTGTGACTGGAGGAACAGACAATAGACGCGATTGAAGGAAGGAATGCGTCGCACGCAGGAGGACACCCCCTCGTCGCAGGCAGCTCCAGTTCTGGTTGGCTATTTTGGGCAGCCATATGTGATGGGGAAGAGGCGCAAGCGCCGGGCTCAGATGGGATCCTTGTCGACTCGAGTCGCATCCCTGCAGATTGGCCAATGACGATGGCGGGGGGCGTCGGTTGTCTGCCCGAAGCGGCGTCTATTTGGTTGTACGACCGGGGACGTTCTGGAGTAATGAATCCCTCGCCATTTCCGACAAGAAAGACGGTGAGCAGTACGGAGTTTGGTAGGCAGACTGGCGGATAGACGGAGAAAAGAGAGGACTTTGGTAGTCACGAGACAGTTGATGGTAGGTCGGTAGTAGGTGGTGATACACTGGTACCAAAGTTTGAGTGCGCTTGTTGGTCTAAGAAACATCCAAGACCTGGTCAACAGGCGGCTATTCAGACGCGGTCGTCCAGTCCCCGTTCTCGCTTCCGATAGTTGCCCAAGCCACGCGAGAGTTCGTCACAGAATGCCTGGGAAGTGGGAACCCACACTTGTGAATCCTCAGGTCGGTCTTGGCGGCCGTTGTAAGCAGGTGTTGAAAGCCAAAAAAGCCAACACTGCTGTGAGGGTCGTGAGGGCCTAGCACCGTTGGCGTGGGAATGTTGAGATGAGTGAGATGAGACGACGTAAGCTTTTGTTTGAGTGAGAGGGGCAAAGGAACACTGACCAGGACCAAAAAAAGGGCTGAGTGTATCGGAAGGAAGCGAACTCTCGTCTCGTCTCCGCTTCCCGTCCACAGCCCATGGATGATGGATCTTGTTGGAGCCTCTTTGGAGGAGTCATGCCAGCGAAAGCGAGAAATCTGTCTCGGCCTCCACTTTGATCCGTGCGAACTTTAAGCGAAGAGACGCGGCAGCCGAGGGCGCCGTGGACGCGGGGGTTCGACAGGCGCAGGAATCAGAAACAGAACTGTGCCACTTTGTGGCAACACTGGGTGGGCCATCGTGTTGGGAATGGGACTTGAGTCTTGAGGATGGGAAGTTGGGAGGATCATTCCCTCTCTTAGACGCCACGATGCCAAGCCACAGCACCACGGCAATCTCCAAACGCGGACCCCCCGCCCCGAGACCCCGCCCTGCAAATTAATCAGCGTCCCAAATTAGGTAATCCTGCAAGACCTCCCAAATTGACCCCAACATCACCCGAACAGATGGTGCCAGCTGTGTGAACCTGTCGTCTCCAAACAACGACATCCAAATGTCAACTTCACCGGCCGCCGGCCCTCTCTCAACCCCACAGCCGCCGGGCTGGCCGAGCTCTGTCGCAAATATCCCCAGAAAATAGAATATCTCCAGATACAGAGACATGCCATAGCCAAGATCACGAATGATACCCCCACGACGCATCACCGCCTTTCCAAAGCCTCTGTTATCCGTCCACTCGGCCGAAACGCCTCCCATCGTACTTCTCACTTGTCATTCGTACACGCCCGTCTCACACTATCATAATCACTTCGATAAGCCGATACCGCTCTCATCATTGGTTCGGCCATTTTCTTCAAACGCCCGCGTCTTGATAGATCTGGATGGATCAACGACGACTACACCAGGCCCCGCCGGCAACCTTCATGACTGCCCGCAGGCTCCGCCGATGAGTACATCTGAGTAGGACGACGGCCTCACTCAAGAACTTACACCGTGGATGAGAAGAAAACTTCATCATAAAACGAGATTAAGATCCAGTCCTACCGGTACTTTCTTGCTTCGGATATAAGCAGCATTGAGCAGTCTTTTTTCATACGACATCGTTTTAATCTATTTTGACATTTTCGGTATATAATACTATGGGTGCGTTGATGTCATCCTCCTGCCCTGTGCTTCTGGTTCGGGTCATACCGATCGCTTAAGGGGTACATGGATACCTTTGACGTATGAACATGGGCTTACACTCTCTTATAGGCTCCACATCCCAAGATACCTTTCCTCTCACTATTCCGGAATGGAGAGATGCTCAAGAAGCCGGGGACGGCCTTAGCCGACTCTTGTCGCTTCGAGAGTCTGAGGCCACTTTAAACTCCAACGCCTGGATAGCCCTGGCCACCCCATCTCAAATCGAGCAGCAGTGGGCTTACACCGAATCGTTACGCTTATCTGGTGCTACTCTACCACTCTTCGGCGTCCCCTTCGCGGCCAAGGATAACATTGACGTCGCCAGCTTCCCCACAACCGCAGCGTGCCCCAGCTTTGCCAATGGCCCTGTCGACCAAGATGCCGCAATCATCGCTCGTCTCAAGGCTGCCGGTGCCATCGTCCTCGGCAAGACGAATCTCGATCAGTTTGCTACAGGCCTTGTCGGTACCAGATCACCGTACGGTCCAGTGAGCAACTCTTTTGATCCCGCCAGAGTCAGTGGCGGTTCGAGTTCTGGCAGCTCCGTTGTCGTTGCGAGGGGCGTCGTTCCCTTTTCTCTTGGTACAGATACCGCTGGCAGCGGTCGTGTGCCTGCCGGTCTCAATAACCTTGTGGGAGTGAAGCCTACCAGAGGCGCCCTCAGCACAACTGGAGTTCTGCCCGCATGTCGCAGTCTCGACTGCGTGTCCATTTTTGCACTCACAGTCGATGATGCCGAGACGGTCTTGGCCCTGGCCGAAGGCTTCGATCCCAAGGACTCGTTCTCAAGGGCTCGGCCAGACGCTCCAAGTATGGTTGAGGGACATCGCATGGCCATCTGTGATGATCCTCCATGGTTCGGAAAGACTGAACAGTCTGTAGCGTACGCCAAGGCCCTGGAGAAGGCCGAAGCTCTTGGTTGGACGCTGGAGCCCAAGGACTTTTCTCCGCTATTCAGACTTGCCAGCTTGCTCTACGAGGGCCCCTGGGTCGCGGAACGCTACGCCGCCATCAGGGACTTCATCGAGGAAAACGGAGACAAGATGGACCCTACCGTCCGGGAGATCATCCTTAAGGCCAAGGACTTCAACGCCGCGGACCTCTTCGCGTCAGAGTACCTGCGACAGGAGCTGACCCGCGAGATTGAGGATCGATTCGGCAATTTCGACGCCATTCTGGTTCCCACGTCTCCCACCTTCCCTACCATTGAAGATCTCACCAGGGAGCCGATCAAGGAGAACGCCTATCTTGGCACATATACCAACTTTGTCAATTTCATGGACTGGACCGCCCTGGCGATCCCTGCTGGCTTCAGATCCGACGGACTCCCCTTTGGCATCACATTGATCTCATCCACGTGGGACGAGCCGAAACTGCTCTCGCTGGCACGGGAATGGCTTTGCACGGCCCCTCGACCTCTTGGAGCTACCAAGATTGAGAGACTCGAGGCACGGAAATCTGACGCCGTCGCCGCGGGCGAGCCAAAGACGACTCGTCTTGTGGTGGTAGGTGCTCACCTTACGGGCTTTCCCTTGAACAAAGACCTGACGTCTCGTGGAGGAACACTAGAGACGGCCACGATGACATCCCCAAGCTACAAGTTCTATTCCCTTGATACCGGCGGCACGGTAAAGAAGCCCGGTCTGCAGCGCGTTCAAACCGGCGGCAGCGCCATTCAGGTCGAAGTTTGGAGTCTGCCCACAACGGAGGTCGGCAGTTTTCTAAGCACTGTGCCTTCGCCTCTGGGCATTGGTTCTGTCGAGCTGGTCGATGGAAGCTGGGCTCCTGGTTTCATTTGTGAACCCTATGGGTTAGAAGGTGCCACGGACATCACACAGTTTGGAGGCTGGCGTGCTTTCACCAAGTCCCTGCCCCCTAAGGATTCCCATCTTGACAGTAATCCCAACACTCGCGACATCAAGACCGTTCTTATCGCCAACCGTGGAGAGATCGCCGTCCGAATCATCCGGACCTTGCATTCCATAGGTATCAAGGCTGTTTCGATTCACTCCTCTACCGATGGTCGCTCACCTCACGTACGCAACGCTGATGTATCACTGACATTGGAGGGCACTTCCGTCTCTGAAACTTATCTCAACGGCTCTCAAATCATCTCTCTTGCGAAAGAGGCCGGCGTCGATGCTATTATCCCGGGCTACGGCTTCTTGGCAGAGAACGCCGACTTCGCCTCAGCCGTCGAGGCCGAGGGTATGGTCTGGGTTGGACCGACTGCTGAACAGATGCGGCAGCTTGGTCTGAAGCACCTCGCTCGCGAAGTTGCCATTGGGGCAGGCGTACCTGTCGTACCGGGCAGCAAACACCTGCTCAAAAGCGCCGACGAGGCGCTCACCGAGGCGGTCCGCATTAGTTACCCCGTGATGCTCAAGAGTACTGCGGGCGGCGGTGGTATCGGCCTCAAGCGCTGCGACAACGCTGCGTCACTGGTAGAGGCCTTTGAAAGCGTTCAAAGATTGGCGCAAGCCAATTTTGGTGACGCCGGAGTCTTTGTTGAGCACTTTATTGAGCGTGCTCGGCACATCGAGGTACAAGTCATTGGCGACGGACAGGGCAACGTTACGTCTGCCGGCGAGCGAGATTGTTCCCTGCAGCGGCGGAACCAAAAGGTGATCGAGGAGAGTCCTGCCACGTTTGTACCACTCGATGTGCGCAAAAGGATGCGCAAGGCCGCTGTCAATCTTGCTTCTGCTGTCAAATATCGCAACGTCGGCACCGTTGAGTTCATCTACGACGTGGACACCGCGGAATTCTACTTCCTCGAGGTCAACACTCGCCTGCAAGTTGAGCACCCCGTCACGGAGTCTGTGACTGGTCTTGACCTGGTTGAGTGTATGATCCGCGTGGCGTCTGGCGACAGCAAGAACATCTTTGAAAAGTCAGAAGGGTTCGAGGTGAACGGCGCCGCGATCGAGGTGCGCGTTTATGCTGAGAGCCCGCTCCAGAACTTCCGCCCCTCTCCAGGCCGCCTTCTGGATATCTCTTTTCCTGACGATGTACGCGTCGATACATGGGTTGAGCCAGGGATGGAGATGTCATCATCGTACGACCCGCTTGTAGCTAAGATCATTGCTACGGGTGAGGACCGAACGACAGCGATCGCCAAACTCGCTGACACTTTGGAGAAGACGGTCATCACTGGCGTTGAGACAAATCTGAACTACGTTCGCCACATTGTCGCGTCAGAAATGTTCAAGTCTGGTGACTTCACAACGACATCCCTGAACACCTTCACATTCGAATCTTCCGTTTTTGAGGTCGTTGACCCTGGCACCCTCACCGTTGTCCAAGATTTCCCAGGCCGCAAGGGGTTATGGCACGTGGGCGTCCCGCCGTCCGGTCCCTTTGACGACTATTCCTTCAGACTCGCAAACAGGTTGGTTGGGAATGACTCCCGCGCCGCCGGGCTTGAGTGTACCATTTACGGGCCCAGCCTTTTATTCCACTGCGACGCCGTTGTAGCCGTAACTGGTGCCACCGCCGAAGTCAAAATCGACAAGGAGTTGGTCTCACAGAACGCCGTCTTTTCTATCAAAAGGGGCCAGACATTGTTCATCGGCGGCGCAACGTCCGGGTACCGCAGCTACCTTGCCATCCGCGGGGGTGTCGCCGTTCCCGAAATCTTCAACTCCCGCTCCACCTTCGCATTGGGCCAGGTTGGAGGCCACAACGGACGGAACCTACGCTCTGGCGACCTGCTTCCCGTGGGTAACCTAGCTGCCACGTCGCCGTCCACCGCTTCCGGCCCCGCGACCCCCATCCCGTCCGACCCGGGCAACGCAAACTGGTCCATTGGCGTCGTCCCCGGACAGCACTCGGCACCCGAGCACTTCACAGAGCAAGGCTTCAACACCCTCTTCGCCGGTGAGTGGATCGTCCACTACAACAGCAACCGCGTCGGCATCCGCCTCGACGGCCCCAAACCGCAGTGGGCCCGCCAAACCGGCGGCGAAGCCGGCCTGCACCCGTCCAACATCCACGACAGCCCCTACTCGGTCGGCAGCGTCAGCTTCACCGGTGACGAGGCCGTTATCCTCACCTGTGACGGGCCCAGCCTCGGCGGCTTCGTCGTCTTCTGCGTCGTCGCCTCGGCCGAGATGTGGAAACTCGGTCAGCTCCGCCCTGGCGACAAAGTTAAACTCCAGCCCATTGGCGTAGACGACGCACTCTTTCTCGAGGCCGCCCTCGAACGCTCCATCGCCGAGCTCACGCCCTTAGTGGTGGACGTCACTCCGCTCGCCAACAGCCCTACGACGCCCGACTCAAACCCGTTACTCGGCGACATTGGCAGCGCCGGCCGCCGCATCGCGGTCCGCCAGGCCGGCGACAACGCGATGCTCCTAGAATTCGGCACAGAAGACGTCTTCTCTCTCCGCCAAAGCTTCCAAATCTTCTCCTTCATCGCCCGCCACAAGACGCACCCGATCCCACACGTCCTCGAGCTGTCCCCGGGCGTCCGCACCCTCCACGTCCAATACACCCCCAAACAAGCCCCCGCGACGATCCTCTCCGCCCTCCGCGCCCACGAGGCCTCCCTAGGCGACGTCGCCATCCCCCCCTCCATCCCCTCCCGCACATTCCACCTACCCCTCGCCTTCGACGACAGCGTCTCCCGCGCCGCCGTCGCCCGCTACGCCGCCACTATCCGCGCCACGGCCCCCTGGCTGCCCAGCAACGTCGACTTCCTCCGCCACCTCAACGCTTTACCGTCCCCCGCCGACGTCGAGCGCATCTTCCTTGACGCTACTTTCCTCGTCCTCGGCCTCGGCGACGTGTTTCTCGGGTCTCCCTGCGCCGTGCCCCTCGACCCGCGCCACCGCCTCTTCGGGACGAAATATAATCCCTCCCGCTCCTTTACGCCGCGCGGCGCCGTAGGGATCGGTGGGCAGTACATGTGCATCTACGGCATGGATTCGCCGGGCGGGTATCAGCTTGTCGGGCGGACGGTCCCGATCTGGGATGACGTTGCCGCTTCCGCCGTAGTATCGCGTTCGCGCGGCGACGGCAGCAGCAGGACTGATACCGCAGGGGAACAACAACAGCAGCAGCAGCAGAAGCAGCCGTGGATGTTCCGCCTCTTTGACCGGATATCCTACTACCCCATCCCTGAACCCGACCTCGACGCCGCCATCACCCAAGGCCGCGTCTCCGACCTCGTCCGCATCGAAGAAGGGAGCCTCGACCTCGCAGAATACGAATCTTGGCTGGCGGCCAACGAAGCCGACATTGAAGCCACGCGCAGCCGCCGCGCCGAGGCGATTCGCAACGTGCCGTTCATGGAGGAGCTGCTGCAGCCGTATAACCCGCCCGAGAGCGAGCGCGAGCGGCACGGTATCTTTGGGGAGGATGGCGACGGCAGTAGTGACGGTGGAGTGGCGGGGGAGAGGATCAAGGCGCAGATGCCCGGCCGGTGCTGGAAGTGCGAGGTGAAGGCGGGGGACGAGGTCGAGGTTGGGGACGCGCTCGTGTGGATTGAGTCGAACAAGATGGAGATCAAGATTGGGAGTCCCGTGAAGGGGAGGGTTGTCAAGATGTTGGTTGCGGAGGGGGATGTGGTTGGGCCGTTTGATGATTTGCTCGTTGTGGCGACTGAGTGAGAGTGGAGAGGGGCACCGTGGGATAGGGACAGAGTGCGGTTCCGTATTTGAGCGATGTCTAGCTCCATTTTTCATGACTTTGATATGACTTACAAGCCTACGATGTTGATGTGGTATAGAAGTTAGATACTTGTGGCTTGAGCAGCATTCACTAGATCCTCGCGCAATAATGTTACAGAACAGAACACGTGCACACAAACACCCAAGTAGCTCTCGTCTCTTCTATCGAAATGATTTACGGGTATCCAAGAGACACGCAGACTATGTGAGTAACACAAACACCCAAAAGCAAGTGTTCTCCCCACCTCGCCGCCTTTCCCCCCCTTTTTTGATATACCCAATCCAAATTTCGCCAGCCATAACCAGAATCATTGTACATATTTCCACTTTCTACATAAACTCATGACCCGTAAGAAGGAACGAAGTATTTTCCCGGCCCAGGTCAGAAATCTCACCTCCAGCTCCTCCTTAGATCTTAATCTCCGCAGAAGCCCTCACAGCCCCCAACCCGCCCACATCAGCCTCCAACATCCTCAGCGCCTCCCTCGCGAACGGCGCCGCCTGGGCCCGGACGCGCAGGCTCCAGAGGTACTCCTCGACGCGGTCGGCGTAGTACATGGCCTCGGCGTCGTCGTCCGAGGTGGCCCACAGCAGCCCCGCGAAGGAGCCGATGGCGGCGAGCTGGGCGGAGGCGGCGAAGCCCCAAAAGGACTGTATGTGCTCCATTTGCAGGTTGGAGATGATGTTGGAGGCGTTTGCGAGGCGGGCGCGGGCGCCGGTGCGGATGGCGTGGCGGAGGGAGTCGGGCGCGTTGGAGGAGACGTTGCGGACGAGGGAGCGGTGCAGGGCGAGGTCTATTGAAATGTAAGAGAGGTGGAGGGAGCCTTTATGATGTTAGTAGATGCTTTTTTTGCGATGGTTTTTCGCCATGCTTGTCCGCGAATATATGGGAGAAAGAGAGAGAGAGAAAGGGGCAGATGGGAGGCTCACCATTTGCAGAGAGCTTCTTGAGACGCGTTTCTTGAAGCTGTAGGGCTTCGGGAAGTTTTGCGTACCACTCCCGTAGCATCATGACGATGGGCTTCGCGAGCTCGGCGACGCCCACGGTGCCGACCTGGTCGAGGGTGCCACCGCGGCGGGTCGCCTTGGCCGTGTAAAACGTGCCGAGCACGTCACTGAGGATGAGAGACAGCTCAATCTGCCGCAGGAACAGCTCACGCCCGACAACGACCTCGGCGCTGCCCTCGGGGTCGTGCTCCTCGTCGGCGGCATTCTCGGGGAAATCCTCGATACAGCACGGCCGGACGTCCCAGTCCTCGTCGAGGCGGATGTGCGAGGGCCGGCCGTGGACGAGGGCGCCCCATTTGTCTTGCATAAACAGAGCCCAGGCGAGGCGGCGGCGCAGGCCCTTTTCCCAGTCCGGGATGGCCCAGTCGCTGCAGTCGACGTGGAGGCCGAGCCCCTGGCCGAGGGCGATGAGCTGGGCGGTGAAGGTCCATGTGTTATTGCGGAAGCGCTGCTGGATGAGGAGGCCGGCTTGGAGGGTGGAGATCTTGGGGCGCTTCATGTCGTCGCTCATTGTGCGGAGGGCGAGGGCCTCGAGGGCGGCCTGGTCGGGCTGCCATGAGGAGGTGGCGAGGGTGCGGTCGTACAAGGACCAGTCGAGGGCCAGGAGGTAGACGGCGGCGAGGAGGGGCGGGGAGAACTCATGGTAAGAGCGGGCATATTTCTCTAAAAAGACCTTTTTGTGGAGGATGGGGAAGCTAGGGTGGACGATGCGGAAGTAGAGGTTGACGAGGGTCGAGCCGAGTGGGTGGACGACCTTTTCTATGGCGTCGAGGTCGGCTATTCGTTGGGGTTCAGACGAGGTTTCGCGGTCGCGGTGGATGAGGAAGACGGTTGAGTCGTCGAGGCGGCGGACGAACCTGACGGCCGGGTCTTGGGGACGATGGAGGTCCAGAAGGGAGGGCTCCCGGTAGTCTGTATTGCCGACGTATTGGGAATGGGTCTTGAGATGGAGGCCGAGGGTGCCGTCTAGGAGGGAGACGGGCTGGTTGAATGTTACGTGGTGTTCTGAACCGGCGAGAGAAGGTGACAGGGCCTCAAGCAGTTCGGGAGACGGATGCCTGTAGGTCCGTTAGACTGGGTGACTTGAAAAGACGGAGAGGGAGAAAGTGAGACTCTTTACTGGGCGAGGGAGAGTAAGAGAGAGAGAGAGAGAGACGAATAGGTGTATGAGGACGGACCCGGGACACTGGACAGCCGGGAAAGGTTGATGGCATGAGCCAATGAGAAGGGGGCAATGAGACTATTCAGGAAGGACGAGGTACCGCGTTACAATAAGACATAGGAAAGGCAAGGTATGGTAGGGTAAGGTAGGCCGGAGAGTCTAGACCAGTGTAGAGAGTAGTTCAAGACGGCGGGAAGATGAAGGTACGATAAGAGAAATGTCACATCACTTACGTTATCTCATCCTGGGGATCCAGCGGGACGGGAGCAGGTGGAGGACCCGAGGTTGCAGAGACGGAGCCATTGGTTGATGGGCGATGTTCCGGGGGATCGGTAGCCTTCCGGCGCTTGCGCGGGAGCGGTCCGCGGAGATATGTGCACGGCTGGCCGTGAAAGGAGCACATGACGCACTTATCACGGCCCTCCTCGCGGACGCAGCGCGTCTTGCGCTGACGACATATGTCACAGGGTCGACTCTGGGCGGTGGCTGCGGCATTGGAGGCGCCCAGTGCTGCTTGTGCCGCCGTTTGGCCGACGGCGGCTGCTGCAGAGGGGTGTGCCTCGAAGGAAGGGATGTTGGCTGAAGGCGAGGAGGCCGGCATGGTCGTTGAACCCGGGCCGGCGGTGGCGGGGTCGCCGTAGGGCGCCGGTGTGGTGTCCATGTCCATGACGGGCGGGCGGGCGGAACCGGGCGACAGCCGAGCCGAGGAGCGCGGGGGCGTGCGTGCGCTGCGTGCGCGAGTGTAAGGTAAAGATAAGGGGGGGTGAAGGGTTACGCAAAAGGTTGTGATCAAATTGGGTTGTGTCAGGCGACAGATAGTGCCGAGTTGTGCGAGAAGTGAAATTCGAGATTGGTGAGGTACGTAGTATGGAGTAGGAAGGTTGTTTGGTGGAAGGGGAAGTGGTCACGTAAAAGCAGTGACACACAGCATGAAAGACGGGGGGACTGGGAGTCGTATACGATGATGCGCGAGGTGCTGCCAGAATGGGAATAAAAGGGAAGACTTCCCCGCCGCCGATGATGGAAGATTTTCGTGTGAGTGCCCTCCGTTTTCTCTCTTTCAGATACGTCAAACGTACTTGGACTGAGTGAGCGGCTATGGCACGGTAGCCATGAGGCTGATCAATCACGACTGAGCTGAGCTGCAAGCGAGTGTCATGGACCTGTCAGTCGGTAAAGGTACCTAGGCCCGGCCGAGTGGTTGTCTCTGTGCGTCTGGGATGAGTGAGATACTGCATGGAAACACGCAATGCAGTTTTCGTCCTCCAATGAACCCCACGGTTAGGTACTCGAATCCGGGGTCGACACTGATGGTCTGCTCAAAGGTCTCGAACACTCGGACAGTGAGACAAGCTCTCCAGAGTCCAATGGCTTATCGCCGGGGTCGTGTGTCGTCTGATTCGGCTGGGCTGCGTGCTGCTCGCTGCTGTTATCGCAAAGCCTGGTCGGAATATTTTTCATCGATAAGTCTCCCATGCGGTGGTGTGAAGGTACAAAGTTACGGATAAGATAAGATATCCGAACGCTGTGTGGGATAACTGCAAACTGGGGTGGGGGAGGCAGAGAAAGACTAGCCGGATACATCGGGAGGTATTTACGAGTACACCCATACACCTAGACGTCAGAAGACTACATACAGATACAACACTGCTCAGTGCAATTCCCCGTAGCCCCATTGCCATGCCCCCTGCGGGCCCTGCCAGCGGCGTTGCCGGCTACGCGGACGCGGACTGGTCGGACTGCTGACAGCTCCCGGTCCCCTAAACTTCGAGAACACGGTGCCAGACTGCCACTAGGGGTACGTACCCCCGTCTGAGGTCAGGTAAGCTCCAGCTTGCAACGTCGACGGAACAAGAGCCGACTCTAGACGCCTGCCTCATTTTCCCTCCAACCTGGAAGTTTGAACCACCGGCAGTAACGAAAGGGACACGATATCTACAACCTTATTCACAAGCTCACCACACTCTACGAACGCCAGAACGACGACAACCAGCACCCGCTAATCCAAACAACCGCCTCCAAACTACCTCACGATTCGCGATCCCGTTCGCCTTCTCCTCGTCAAACCCCCTTTCTTGTCTCCACGGAAGATGACATCGCAATAACTTACAATGGCCAAGGCCCCAAATCATGGAGCCCACCAAGACGACTCCCACCTCCCGGGCGCCGTCGCCGCCCACTCCCACCACACCCCGAGCGAAGAGGACAGAGGCCTCCTCGCCGACGACCCTCTCTCTCCGCACCACCATGAATCTCACGGCGCCGGCATAACCACCACCGCCAACACCGGTGACGAGGGGTACTTCGTAACAGCAAAGCAGTACGCCACGTCCCTCCGATCTCCCGGCACCCCCCGGACCCCGAACCGCGTCCGCTTCAACCCCATCCCCTCCATCGTCGAGCCGCCGCCCCCCCGCGCCTCAATGACCAACAGCAACGGCGGCTCCTCCGCCCGCGCCAGCCGCGACAGCTTCGACGTCGACGACGACCTCTTCCACCACGCCCCCGGCGCCGACGACCACGACGACCACCACCGCCTGCCCCTCCTCACAGACATCGAGGCCCCCTCCGTCGTCCTCGCCAACAGCCCCTGGGGCGAGGACGCCGACGACGTACACGAATGGGCCGAGCAGGAGCGCGCGAGGCCCAAGTCTGGCCTCAAGATGGCCTTCATGAACATGGCCAACTCCATCATTGGCGCCGGCATCATCGGCCAGCCCTACGCCTTCAAGCAGGCCGGCTTGCTGGCCGGACTCGTCCTCCTCGTCGGCCTCACCGTCGTCGTGGACTGGACCATCTGCCTCATCGTCATCAACAGCAAGCTGTCGGGGAGCAACAGTTTCCAGGGGACGGTCGAGCACTGCTTCGGCAAGACGGGGCTCATCGCCATCTCGGTCGCGCAGTGGGCATTTGCCTTTGGCGGCATGGTCGCCTTTGGCGTCATTGTCGGCGACTCAATACCCCACGTCTTCACGGCCATCTGGCCCGACATACGCGAAATGCCCGTCTTCCACCTCTTGGCGAACCGGCAGGTGGTCATTGTAGTCTTCATCTTGGGAATCAGCTACCCGCTGACCCTGTACCGCGATATCGCAAAGGTGAGTCGCCTGTTGCATCTGAACGGGGGGTCAGAAATAAGAACACTGACACAGTACTCGTTCCCGTTGATAGCTGGCCAAGGCAAGCACATTAGCTCTCATAAGCATGGGTGTCATCGTAGCGACTGTTATCATCCAGGGAGCTCTCACTCCCAAGGCTGACCGGGGCTCCTTCACACCCGCCCTTCTGACCGTAAACACTGGCATATTTGAAGCCATTGGCGTGATATCCTTCGGTTCGTCCACTTTTTGCGTGTGTCTCACACAACCTCTGTTCTTTGGCTAACGGGACATGAAAATGATCACCAGCATTCGTGTGCCACCACAATTCCCTCCTCATCTACGGCTCCCTCAAAACCCCCACAATAGACCGCTTCTCCCGCGTGACGCACTACTCAACCGGCATCTCCATGGTCGCCTGCCTCCTCGTCGCCCTCGCCGGCTTCGTCACCTTCGGCGACAAGACGCTCGGCAACGTCCTCAACAACTTCCCCTCGGACAACGTCATGGTCACCATTGCCCGCCTCTGCTTCGGCCTCAACATGCTCACCACTTTACCTCTAGAGGCATTCGTCTGCCGCGAGGTCATGTTCAACTACTTCTTCCCCGGCGAGCCCTTCAACATGCACCTCCACCTCATCTTCAGCTCCGCCCTCGTCGTCTCCGCCATGGTCATGAGCCTGCTCACCTGCGACGTCGGCGCCGTCTTCGAGCTGGTGGGCGCCACGTCCGCCTGCGCCATTGCGTACATCCTCCCGCCGCTCTGCTACATCAAGCTCACCACCCGCTCGTGGAAGACGTACGTCGCCGCCGCTATTATTGTGTTTGGCACCGTTGTCATGGTGATTAGTCTCATACAGGCAGTCGCCAAAATGATTAGCAGTATGTTTAATTCCCCTTTCCCTTTGAACCAAATCACCCGTCCCTCAAGATTATCAGATCAACTAACTACAACCTCAAGGTGACGGCGGCCCTGCAAAGTGCATGTAAACCACTGTATGATTAAAGAACAAAAAAGATGAAGAAGACGGGTTGTTTGTATCGTCTAGAGTAAGAGTAGGAAACCAGCTGGCCGCCCCCCATCGCGTTCCAGGCGCGCTGCGGAGATACGGGAGGGAATGGGTTATAGACAAACCCCCGGAACCGTTGTATAACACCGTGGTCTTTGGTAGACCAAGTAAGGTATTCAGGGTATTTAAACATTATGGTGTTCCTTTTTTTACTTTCATGTTTTCTTACTAGACGCGGCAATTGGGATTCGCGTAGGAGTTGCCCAAAGAAAAACAGCATTTGATTTTTCTTAACAAGACGGTTTTCGCCACTTTTCCTCTTTTGAAACGTGATGACTTACGAGGTACACGCAGTCGCGTAGTGGTGTATGCACTACGGGGCATCGACGAAATGATATTGACGCTACTTTCTGGTTTAGCCATTTTCGGATGTTGAACTCCCCGCAAGTAGAGATGAGGATCTTCACACTTAAAATCGCTCTCTCCAAATAAGAAAGCATTTTAAAGTGTCGGCCGATAAGATATCTGCATGGGGGGCACAATGGGATAGGTAGAGAGACACAACACTTGAACAAGCAGCATAAAAAAAGACAAAATGTAGCCGTAAAGAATCAGACGCTTTTATTTACCATTACAAGTTGTATCTATATCTACAATGGCCGAATTGTAGGGGCCCGTCTGTGTCGGTCCCCAGGGGGTATCATGTGCACGTAACCATCCAATTTCCCATCCATATCTGCAATCCCAAGATCGCCGCGCTTGAACAAAACTTAAGCTCCTCAGAAGAATCCCAACATGGCGAACAAGCAGAAAGATGCTGCAGCGGCCACATTGATGTGAGTGATAGAAGCATATGATGCAGCCCCTGACTGGGCTGCGGGTGAGGTCTGCGCAGCGGCGCTCCCTGTGGCGGTCTCATGGCCTCCCAGACCAAGGGCGGGACCAGTCGTCGGAACAGCTGACACCACAGTCGTTTGGCCAGGGTTGTTAACCACTGCCGGTGTGGCCGAAGCAGTTGCGGTGCTGGTAACTGGTGGAGGGTCGACTCTAGTCGCAAATCCTAAAGTGACAGCGGTTAGCATCGAGTGTGATGAGATGGCCATGACAGTGGCGACTTACCTATGCGTTTTTGGTCCTTGTCAAATACAGCATAGACATTTTTGAGGAAGACGTCTCCCAAAAGCCAGGCTCCCGCTACGACCTCATGGCCGTAAATGTTGCTGGTGCATGTGCCGTCTGCTGCAGGGCTGGATCTCCAGTCCTTAGGGGAGATGACATAGCTAACACCCGAGAATGTGTATGTTACATCCTTGTTGCTGTCGCACGGCACCTTGTACGTCGTGCCATCGTCCGAGGTAGATCCAGGAATATTCTTGTGGAAGGCAGCGACATCGGTCTGGGGTCCAAAGACGTAAGAGGTACCGGTGTCAACATAAGCGAGCTTGCCAGCTGCGCCAGACTTGAGGCCGTCGTACTGAATGCCATCAAGAGGGATTGCCCAGTCTCCGTTGTCGTTTCCAACCCCGGTGTAAGTGATGTTGCCAGTGTACTTTTCGGTGTTACAGGTACCAAAGCTGATTTCGCTCGTGTTCGGTCCATCCGCCGCTCTGTTGAGGTATACACAGAAAATGTTTGCAGGAAGCTGGCCGGAGCTCTTGACAACTTGCATGAAGTTCTCGGTCTCGCCACCCGCCATGGAAAGTCCCAATATGCCGTCGAAAGGGAAGTGGTTGAAATCATCCGACGTCTCGTTGGCCACCCCGAATTCGAAGTCAAACTTCATGCCCGCGAAGGAAACAGTGTCGGTGATCTTGTCGCCCTTGACTGAACCTGATCCGTAGGCGACAGCAAAAGTCTCCCCCTTGGGCTTGTACGTGTCCGAGTCCGTAGGGCCGTACGAACCGTGCTTCTCGCAAGCCGATGATGTGCAAGAGCTGCCCATAACCCAACTAGTTCCAGCTCCAGTGTCGATGAGCATCCATAAAGGCTTCTCCTTGGAACCTAATTTGACCTGAGCAAAATAGGAAAAGTCGGTACCATCCTGAGCGACGGCGGCTGCGGTCTTGAGAGTGGTGTCCGCCGCTGTGACAATGCGATACAGGCTCTGTCTCTTAAACTTGGCTGCCCTCTCTCGAACAGCAGCGGACTGGAATCTCGCATACTTGCGGGAAAGACGTTGAACCTCGCGGGCAACTCGTTCGGATTCGGATTCTTTAGTCTACAAGGTTTCATGTTAGCGACCCTGTGCTCAAAGTTTCGTGTTGTTCTCTGGTGAGTGGTTTGACCAAGACCCAAAAGCCTCTTGTGAGTATTCACCAGGATATTTCGACTTACCAAAGATTCCTTTGTGATTTGAGGGCCAAGGTGGAAGCCGGGGAAGTTGATAGCCTTGATGGCATCGACAGCATCAGATCCAAGGGCATCTTGGTCCTTCAACTCCCTCTTGTGGGAACTGCATCCACCTTCGAATGGACAATGCTCAGATACGTCCCAAGGAAAGAAGGCGTGAACAGACGTCAAAAACAGGGACAGCTGGGCGAGGACCAAGGTAGAACGCATTATGCCTCGGCTGTGGCTGGCAAGTCGAAGTGACGCTCGGTACGGATACGACGAAGGGCTGATGCAAAGAGTCGAAACGTAAAGCTGTCGAGGGGTAACGTAGGCGTTTTCAAGTCAAAGTCTGGCGGTGATTCAACAGTGCGTGACGTGATGAAAAAGCTCAAGGCAGCTTATGACAGGTGATTGACAATCGAAAGACTTTGGACGCTAAGTGATTCGCTATACAGACGATTTCGGCAAATGCAAGCTCGAGCAAGCAAGCGGGTACCAGACTCCGCGATTTCGGACAGATTATGATATTAGGGATTAAGTTGAGCGCATTGAAGGCTGGTAAGAAGCTGGACGGAGAGCCGTCAGGAGTCGGGTCGTTTACGAGAGGAATGCGTAATCTTTTGATAGTAGGCTTGGCTGGTGGTTCTGAAATGCTGTACGCGGGCCGGTCGAACCAAGGGTGAGACAATGGAATAGAGGGGCGGATGATCGAGGGCGGCGGCGGCGTGGAGCGGCAGAGACACGATGCAAGACAATGAGACAAGTGCAAGGGTGAAGAGCCAAGGACAAGGGACTAGCAGAGGCGATGAGAAGTTCTGCTGTCTGTCTATATCTGTGACCAAAGACAAAAACGAAAGGCGAGCAAGGGGAAAGCAACTCTTGAAAAAGGATGAGATGCACCCCGGGGGAGGAGGAAGAGGAGGAGGGTGGAGGTCGGTGAGGTCACGTAAAGTGATGATGTGAGGTGAAGAGGAGAGAGAAGGAGGCGAGGAGGGGATCGTGGGGAGTAGATATGGAGATTTGCGAATCGGAGAGCGAGGAGCCCCGGTTGAGTTGCCAGGCCCAGGCGAGCTAAGGCTTCTAGCGACGATGGGCTGGTCCAGGGTCGCAATTGGGAAGTGTGGAAGTGCAGGTGCAGGGTAAACCGCCATGGATGGTGATGGGCGGATAGGCGGGCTGGCAGGGGTACGGAGTACGGGTACCTCACAGCAGCTGGAGTTCTGGAGGACGCTACAGAAGAAGGTCAGACATGGCTTGTCATTGAAAGGAGCTTCACGTTGTATGTAGATACCTAGCTACTCCGTAGGTAGTGTTGATTATGAGGGTGCAGCGTACCTTGAGAGAGTAAAACGGCCGAGGGAATACTTTGGAGCTGGCGGATGATGGCTTCCTCTGCTGGATTGGTGGCTCAACCATCAATGACCCCAAGTGGGTGGCTCTAGACTCGAGGTAGGTGGGATGGACAGCAGCTAGTCAGATCTGCATACATGCATGCAATTGCACAGGGGGGGAACGGCGTTTCTGGCTTGATTGTGGACTGTGGTTGCCATCGGTTGTTCATTGCCTTTGGATTGTCATTGGGTCAAACTTGTCAGTTGTTTCTGGCATATGTTCTGGGCCGCGTTGTTTCTTGCGCACCTCCATCTTCCATTTTCGGGACTTGAATTATTTCTGCCGCGTCGTTCCGTCTTTCCTGTTAGTCGCGGCCTGCCAGTCTCTCTCTTGCTCCTTCCTCTTTCTTTCCGTTCATGTCTTACCAAGGAAAGCCATGCCACGGTCGAGGCCACCCCTGACTTGCAAGTAAGGTACCTGGGTACCTTACGCTTGTACCTACCTATCCTTCCTCCGTACCTTTCATTGGGCGATTGGGTCACGCTTTGTGTGGACACCACATGGTCCGTGGCGTTATGCAGCTCGCTGTTTCCCAGAGAGAAAAGTGGCAGGAAATACCTAGCAAAACGAAAAGGAAGGAGCCGAGAAACGAGGGAAACACACCGCGACACCTTATTGCCTTTCTCTATTGAGTCTTAACATCAACCGAGAAACAAAGTCTCTTCCTTGTACGCTCATGGATGGGATGAACGATGTACAATCCATTGCCCAATTCGACCGTCCATTCAGATCAACATGCGACATTGATTGGCCCCCTGCTTCACGCGTCCTCAACCCCCCAGCTGTCGATTCTTTTCTCTTTCGGGTCCGCGCTTCTCAGTCTCCAGTCTCCAGTCTCCAATCTCAGGGGCGCTGCTGTCAACCAGAGCTTCTTTGCCAGGCTGCTTATTGCTCCTAGGGACCACCAGCCCATGTGCCCATGCCAAGTGCCTTGGCTTGGTCGGTCCCTTATCTTGCCGGAATCCATCCCACCCCGTCCATGACTTCTCTGGCGTCTGCCGACGCATGCGGCTGTCGTTCTTGATTCTTCCATTATTCGAGGCCTCGCGGCGTCATTGTCTTCTGTCTCAAATTCCTTCGCCGTATATCTCGACTCGCCGTCTGGATCGGTCTCAAGTCAATACCAGGCGGAACAAAACTACCGCCAACTCAATCGCTTCGCCGTTTGCATTTTGCATCGCGTCCCATCTCCACCTCAGCAAGCCACCACCTCGTGGTTAAATCCCTTTCCCTCGTCACGGTGGCCTCGGCCGTCGACCGTTACCGTGTGTGGTGGGATACGAAAGTCGAACAGGCAATTACTAGCCGCAGCCACCGAAGAAAGACGCTTAACCTGCCTTAGCGGCATTGGCGCCTCGAAAACAAGGGGCATCTTAACCATCTCCACTTTCAATGTCGCCTCGCTGCTGCTTCGGGCCATCTTCTCCAGCTTCTCTCCAGGCTGTTCCCTTGCACCAAAGGTGGCTACCGGCCCTTTTGGGACCAAGTCAATGAGTCCAAATGTGATGGACATTGGCCCGTCACCCATCCGCCTGTCTACCAATCACCACCATCCAACACGGCATCTTTGCTTCTTGTCTCACTGTCGGCGCTCTCCCGAATGTCGCCCGCTTCTCACTCACTTCTTGTCCATGGACTTGGAAGTTGATCAACCAACCAAGCCACAGCTCCCGTTTCTTTTGTCAAAAGCTCCATGACGACTGCATGCGACTACCAGCGCTGTGTCGAGACCATTTTCTTCGGCCGGGAACGTGCGTCTGTCGCCGGACTCGAGCACGGTACTTGCTCGACCGCGCATCCACGTCAATCAAACCATCAAACGGACTGACGGGCGCTGGGACTGGCTCGTGCTCCTCATGTCGTTTGGATATCCGATCTTCCATGCCCAGGACCGTGGACATATTCCATGGTCCGTACTCGAACTGAGATGGTCCACGCTCAAAGCCCATGTTGGATGGAGCTCCCAAGTTGCAGTGCACCGCAATCTTACGTATCTCCGGTGCTGCTGGCTCGCTGCTCTGTGTTCGCCTCCTGTGTAGAACAGCACGACTGGCTGCCTCGGTCATTCTACGGGCGTCTCTCAACACTCATCTTCAACCTGGGGCCTCTCTAGCCGTTTTGGTCATGACCTCTAGGGCCCCCAGCAGCTTTTGAGAGTTCCTAGAGTCTGGACCAACATCCAACCGTGGTCCAGTAAATGATCAACCAACTGGACTGGATGAGATCAAAGAAGAGATGCATGCGGCAGATGCTCAATTCACGGTGGAAATCATCGCCGTCAAGGACCCCGGGCTACTCCAGGGTCCAATTTGCCTCGAGCCACCTGAGCTTTACACTCAAACTAATTACCCGGCCCTGTCATTGCAGGCCAGAGCTTCTTCCCTTTCAGTCGACTGGCAGTCCTCGAGAATAAAAGAAGACAATTACAGACTCTACCGCCTACAGCGCCTAGAACCCCATCCACACCAGCATGGAATTCAATCAACAGTCGCGTCAATACCTACTCAGTCTTCTTCCGTAGTGAGGCCTTCGGCTGGCGGCTTCTTGACCCGATTGCGGCGCTGCACGAGCATCAGCACAGCCGGTTCGCGACAGGTGATAAAAGGCCAACGTGATGCGCAAGCGCCAAATCATACAGACATTTGCTAATACTGTTTGCAAGTGACTGTTTAATCGTTGTTTAAGACGATGTGCATCATCACGATCGATGGTGAAGTCCATGTTCTGTATCCGATGATGTTGCATATGTAAGAGGCGTTCCCTGTCAACATTTCACAGCGAATTAGTTGTCGCCATCTCAGCCATACGTCCTGATCTTCTTCAATGAGCTGCTAATGCGGATGTGGCAGGCGGACAGGGGCTTCCGAATGTGGATGTGATGGACAGGGGTCGCGGCCGCGAAGGGTTTCAGCCGCGAATCACCAAGTCTCAATCAGATCAGCGTGGCTTTCGGCTGTTGGACGATTCGTTGCCCCAAGAATGCTCCCAATTACAAGATGCATTGCACTAATATGATTTGTAACTTGGAAGGCCGGAGCTTTTTGATCTTGTTGATCCCTTGGAGGACTGCCAACCAAGGTAACGTTAATGAGTGCAATTATTTCCGAGTATGAAAAAACCAGGCATAATTCTTCTCAGTACCTATGTAGTTCATCTGCGGTGCTCCATTTAAGCGCAATGCCGCCGTTTAGGTATTCTTACCCATAAAACAAAGCAACAAATGTCAAGAAGCATTATGAGAGAAATGTTCAAGGCCCACCCTGGAAGCTCATTGAATCCGAGAAATGAGCATGATGTATGCTTCTTCCGGAAGTCTAAAATTGTACTTGTGTAATCAGCACTGGTACTAGGGTTTCGTCGGTTCTCCCCTCCTCTATTTCACCAACATCACTTTCGCTTGTCTTCTATACAGACTGTCTGGCCATTTGACCGTACATATCCCACCATGTCCGTGCCGTTCTCAGTACTGCGGCTTCGAGAGAGTCCTCGGAGCTGGTTGCTGCCAGACGCTCTTGAACACTCACAAATCTATCTCTATCGATTTGTCCCAATACTGGCCGAGATGCTATGGTGCGTAGAAACCACCAGACTGACTCATTACACCACCGGAGAGATTCTGCCAAACCCAAAGTCTCATTAAAGACCAAAGAAACCGTCCCTCTGTCGTCCTTCCCTAGCCTATCAATCAGATGCGCGAGGAAAGACCAGCCAGAAATATCTGAATGGTGTCTGAAGGACCACAACTTAACACTCTGAGTCAATGACACAAGCACGTCGAGCTCGGAAACGGCCAGAAACGTATTTGCCAACCACCGGGCATGAGTCCATGCATAATAGTTACGAGGATGTCGTTCTCCAGCCATCATGACAACCGTCTCGACATCCTGTTGCACCACGACGGGAAGCCCGGCATCACGGTACCGCTCCGACAGCCAGCGTCGATGGTTCCACAACGTTGGTGACTTTGTGTGTCGGTGCAGTCGGCTGGTGAGCAGACTATCCACGAACCACTTCTCCCGTGCTAGCTTCACCTTCACGGTGTCACCCGCGGAGATCACATCGGAAAGAAGACGCTTCCTGGTGTTGGCGGCTGTGAGGTGCTCAGGGTCCATCAGAAGCAGGACACTCGTTGCAGCCATCAGCTTCTCCCGTCCCACCGCAGAAGAATCATTGGCTTTGTGTTTTTGAAGGATTTGTCTGGCGAAGAGAAAGGCCTGGACGATGCGCAGCTTGGGAATTGCAACTGCGTTCTCGTCTCGTAAGAAGTTCTCGTCCGGACCCATTGGATGGCCCTGGCCTAGAATCTCAATCTCGAGGAGACCATCATCTTGCGGCTGCGCAAAAAGCCCAGAGATGTCGTGAAAGATTTTCTCGTGGTCGCCTTGTTTCAGGGCAGCTATGATGTGCTTGTTCAGAGCTCTCGACATTGCTGTATTGAAGGGTTGTTGTTGAACGGGACCGTCTTGGCCTTGAGCATGTCTGTGAGCCTCACGACAGAACGCTCGACAAAAGTGATTAGCGTGTAACGGCAGCTCTTGAGTAGCAAGCCGAAGCACAGGAATGGACCCAGAACCACCTAGGTAGGTAGGTCAAGACGTTGAGGCCGTTCAAGTCTTGCTCCGATGGAATGTAAACGCGGGAGTGAAAGGTGATTGGTTCTTGCTGTTCGACGAGGCGGCCAGTGGCTTACAGTGGCACGAGTGGCTAAGGTCCCCGCTAAAGATGCAATTCGCGGGGCAATGACATAGGACCACGTTTTCCCGCCCACCAAAGGGCACCATCGAGCCCTGTCACACACCTACCTGTCGACAACCTTTCAGCCTCGCACATCACAGACATGTGCCGATAGATACCGGAACCACCGCTTGCGAGTCTGTGATCTACCAAAGGGTGTCTACCATGCCCTCCCTACTCGTCATCATCCTCGTGCTGGAGGTGTTCTCCCACCTGGTC